CATACTACAGTATGGATGAGCCTTGAAAACATTATGCTAAGTGAAGGAAACCAGTCACAAAGGGTCACAGCATGTATGATTCCATTTAAATGAAACATGCAGAAGAGGTAAATCCATAGGGACAGAAAGAAGACTGCTTGCCAGGGGCTGGGCACATGGGGAACATGCAGTGACTGCTACTGCACAAGGAGCTTCTTTTTGGGAAATGAAAATATCCTGAACTGGATAGAGGTGATAGTTTCACGACCCTCCGCATGTAGTGAATGCCACAGGTTTGTACAATTTAAAAAGGTTAACAGTTAATTTTTTTAATGTGAATTTTGTTTCTATTTTCAGGAAAAAAAAATTTGGTCTAGGAGAGAAAAGGATGAGCCAGAAAGTGAGGGAGTGCTCAAAAAATGACACGCACCCGTCAGAAGGACATGGGGTCCGTCCCGGGAGAGGGCTGCTCCTCGGCTAAGGACTTGTGTGTTTTTATTAGGACTGTCAATATATTGTTGTTTTTAAGCTACATTAACAGAACTTTCCAAAAATGAACCCTCTGAACACTGTGGTTGTCAAAGTATATTCTTAAGTATTTTATGCCTACTTGTAATTTTTAGAAGTCTTGTTTTGTATTTGTTAAACTGAACACAAGTTTTAGATGTTTAATATTACTTTTCATATATAAAATAAACATTTTTTAAAAAAAGACATTATACTCACCTGGCAGGAGAGATACCATGATTGAGCAAGTGGTCTTCCCGGCACATCCATTGCACTTGGAATGCACTGACCCCTGTGATTTCCCCAAATGTGGGAAACTCGACTGCATAATTTGTGGTAGTGGGGGACTGTGTTTGCACTCTCCCCTGGCTAAAAAGTTGAATAAAATAAAATATATATATATTTTTAAAAAGGACAGAGTAGCCAGTTTGAAGGCACTCCAACTGGCCAAATCTGGGACAATCTGAACATCAAAATAAATCACTATAGTGACAGTCAGGATTGGCTTTGTGGTCGTGCAATTTGTAGTCACACAGGGCTCTGCACTCAGAATTTAGTGCTCTGGAGTTACCATCATAGAATTCTTGATAATTTCATCTTTAAATCTATGTTTCATAAGTGAAATCTGATGGCACAATAAAACACACAGGGGGCTTGGAGTCTGCTCACACATGGTTCTGACTCCTATGACTGCCCACTCCTCACCCCTGGACCCTTGGGTTTTGCCCAGCCTTGCATTCACAGCCTTGCTCCAGAGCACAGACTAGGTCACCTTGGCTGAGGCAAGCCCACACTCCACCTTTGCCTTCCACTGGGGCACGAGTGCAGGAGGAGTGAGGGTTGGGCACGTGCCCCATAGCACTCTGGAAGATGGGCAAGAAGTCAGTGTCACAAGACATGCCCTGTGCCATGCATCAGGGGCTTCCTTTCACTACCACCCAGGAACCAAAAATGTTCTGGCATGGAGGCTGCAATCCCTTGGGATTTGCTGTGGTTGGAGTGGTGGACCCATGAGGAGACTAACTTCCTCATCCACACCTGGGGCCCTGCATTTCGATTTTGCATTGGGCCCCACAAATCATGCAGTCAGCCTAGTGACAGTCATAGATTGTGACACATGGAATAAAATAGGAATCTGAAAACCATACTGACACATCATTTCTGCAATATTCCTACCAGAAATGCATAACCTGAATCTATGGAATCACATGGAAGCATTAATCAAACCCAAATTAAGGAACACTTTATAAAATAAACCAGTGTCCTTAAAAAAGTGTCAATGCCATGAAAGGCGATGACTGAGGAACTACTCCGGAATAAATGAAACCAGGGACGTGGCAACCAAACTCAAACGTGATCCTGGATTGGATTGCAGGGCAGGAAAAAAATTGTCTTTTGCTCTGAAGAACATTAATGGGACTCAGTAGAATCTGGATAAAATCTGAGACTAGATAATAATATTGTATTAATCTTAACGTTCTGATCTTGATCATTATACTGCAACTAGGAAAAAGCATATCCTTGTTTTCAGGACTTGCACACTGAAATACTTAGGGATAAAAAGCATCCTGTGAGCAACTTATCCTCACGGGTTTTGAAAAATAATGTGGGTGTTTGTATATATAAACACACATACATAAATATGGAAAGATGAGAGGAAGATTAAATCAAACATGGTAAGTTTTAACATCTGTGGAATTTGGATAGGAGGTATGTAAAAATTCCTTTTATTATTTTTTTACCTTTTCTCTAAGTTCAAAATTACTTCAAAACAATAATTTGGGAAACATGTAAAAGTCTATTCAGAAAATCTTCCAGGATCAACTCGAGTGGCCCACTTGATAACCTATCATTGTCTTGGCTTTCCCCTTTAACTCTTCTTCTTCTCCTATCTTGCACTCCTGATTTTGGAGTTAGAATGGATTTATAATGAGACTGGAGAAACTATCCCCTGATTCTGTTAACTGGAAGGCTTTGATATTCCTTTCCCGGAGGCACTGGTGAGGATGAAAATGCACTGCTGGGGAGACCACTGACAACTTTGGAATGCTCAGTGGTGGTGGTTGTTTATGGGCTGAAATTGACAGAAGCTGCTGTGGCAACATGGCTTTCTAGAATCAGTCAGAAATAATAGAATTTTTGAATGGCAGATGGCAGGAGATAACTACTAAGCTGGAAAGCAAAGGTTGGAGTGAAACCAGACTGTCTTGAGTAATAGGGATCTGTGGGGATGGCTAATAGATTCATGGTACCCTTTTAAAGTGTGTGATTTCAGTACTTTTTAATATATTCAAAAAGATGTATGCTCACCTCTATCTAGTTCAATATTTTCATCACCTTATATCCATTACCAGTCATCCCCTATCCCTTCTCTCCCCTAGTCCTTGGCAGTCATTAATCTACTTTGTCTCTATGCATTTGCCTGTTCAGGACCTGTCATACAAATAGAATCACTCTTTTTTAGGATTTTATTTGGAGGGAGAGAGTTTATTTATTTTTAGACAGAGGGGAAGGGAGGGAGAGAGTTAGAAAAACATCAATGTGTGGTTGTCTCTCACATGACCCCCACTGGAGACCTGGCCTGCAATCCAGGCATGTGCCCTGGCTGGGAATCAAACTGGTGACCCTTTGGTTCACAGCCCACGCTCAATCCACTGAGCTACAGTGGCCAGGGACAAATAGAATTACTCTTATACCCACCTTGCTTTCATGTTTTCAAAGTTTAACCATGTTGTAGTATGTATCAATAGTTCATTCCTCTTTAGGGCTGAGTAATACTCCATAGTGTGGCTAAACCGCAACTTATTTATCCATTCATTAACTGATAGACATATAGGCTATTTACACTTTTTGGCTACTATAATAATGATGTTATGCACATTTGTGTACAAATTTTTACGTGGACGCTTTTTATTTCTCTCAGGTATATATCTAGTAGAATGGCTAGGTCATATGGCAACACTAGGTTTACCTTTTTTGAGGAAGCATCAACCTGTTCCACAGCAGCTAGTGTTTTATATTTGCACCAGCAGTGTATCAACAAGAGTTTTAATTCCCCACATCTTTGTCAAACTTTCTTTTTGATTGCAATCATACTAATGTATGTGAAGTGGTACCTCATTCTGACTTTGATTGGAATGGCTGCAGTATCTTTACTGGAAAAAAAAAAAAATCAATTCATCCTACTAAACTGACTAAATGCATCCTTCTCCAAAGGAGGATCAAAAGCAATTCAGTTTAACTGGATGTTAGATGATTACTCCTTGGATATAACAGGATTATGTATTGCTACCCATCATCCTGTGACTTGACTATGCACCCTGTGGGAAGAGTCTATGTTCCTGCCTTTGACTTTGGGCTTGACCACATGGCATGCTCAAAACCAACAGAATGTGAAAAGATGTGTTATTTGCCACAATTGAGTGTAAGTTTACAATTCCAGGTTTCCTCTCAGTTCCTCACTTTCTCTCAACTCTATACACCACCTTATCTCAGAGAGGGGCTGCTCTTTGAGACGGGGCCCACAATGATGAGACACACATAACAGAATCCCAAGCAAAAGCAAGCCTGTCAGATGGTTGATATTAGTACATTAATTAAAAATTTTATATACTTTATATGCCTAAAAGCCTCAAAAGCTCACTAAACTGTTAAATGTGCTGATTAAATCAATGTATGCATGGTTCTGTGTTCATTTTTGTATTGTTTGGATTTTTTGATGTGTACTACTTTTGTAATTCTTTCTTCATTTACTTAAAAAAAAAATACCCATACTGTCCATTCAATGTGAATAGCTCTGATTAAGTTATAATGCATTTACTTTCAAGAAAAAGAAATCAATAAAAATAAGTTTATTTTTTTAAATGAGTTTAGTTTTTAAAAAGCACTTTGTACATACGTGATTACATTTGTAGATCTCATTGAAAATATCAAGTTTAACAGTGTTAGGTTAAAAACTAATGTAAAAAATACAAAAAGAAAAAATAAACAAAGTATCAGTTCTTAGCAACCTCAAAATACCCTTTCAGTATATGAATAGCTTCATAACAAATTAACTCCTCCCTAACCACCATTAATGCAAATTTGCTTATATTAAATAGATTTGTGTCATATTTGCCACCCTATATAACACCATATGCCCCCTCAAAACCATTTGATCTGAGCCACACCAATTCTCAATGTACTTCACTCTTTCTGGGATGGAAAAGGGCTGGAGCTGAAAGACTGATGAAGGCTAACTGTAGGCTAATTGAGAGGCGTTCTGCCTGAGATGGTTAACTTGGTTCACACCATCTACAAAGACTACAGTGGACACCATTCCCAGCTACTGTATAGATACAGTCTAGACTGTTCCCCATGATACTGTATATGCTGCATTCCCAGAAAAATAAATGTCTACTAAGAAACAAAGTATCTCTGAAGACATTCATTTTGGCTTAGAAGAGAATTACTAATCTGTCCTGGTGAAAAGACATAAAATGGCAAATAAAAGTAAACACTGAGATCGGCAGTGCTAGTTTTAAAAATCATCATCTATGATTTATTTATGTTTAACATATATTTTGAGAAGTTTTTACAAGACTACTTATAGTCAATGCATAATTTCAAAGGAAATTGAAGCAATTACAGTTTAACTGCATGTAGTATTAACTTGTCTTCTCTTCTGATTCCTCTGCCACTTTCAATTTCTCTTTTAATTCCTTCTGATCTCTGGAATGTTGTTGAAATATCGGTTGAAAAATATATATTCCTCCAGCAATTCCAAGGATGCTAGCAAAAAGTAGTTGTGGAAAAGTCAATCTCCCAAACATTTTTTCAATAAATGCCACACAGTGCAAAGATGGTTTTGAAAAATTACACTCCACTCAGGAAATCTCTCCAGATCTGTGTGCAGAGTAAATGGAAAACAAAGCAATAAGTTAGAACAAGATTCTTTTTAAAGATTTCATGGCACTACTTTGCTCCAGAGTGAACAGTGTTTTCGTCATAATATGTAAATATCACTGATTAAACTAAAAAAGGAATACATATATTTAGGGAGTATGGAAAAGAGGGCTAGGAGATGGTGTAAAACAAAGCTAAATCCTGTTACAGAATGTGCTCAAAGGTTTAAAGTGGATAATTTAAAAGGGCAGAAGTGGGACAAGGGCGAGTCACAGTCTTTATGCCTTTAAAGCATACCAATGCCATCTGGCAATAGAAGATAGAGAAATGTTACTTTTCATTATTAGCCCATTTTTATTATCTCATATTTTTGGCAATATGTATAATTGAAAACAATAGTTTTTTAAAAAACAAGCTAAAATTTTATGAGTTCTCTTTGATCCTTTACTAAGTACAAGTAGACATCAAATATAAATCACTTGCCATCCATTTTTGACAAAAATATAACAGAGATTAGGCTGGGTTTACTTCTAGTAGAGGAGTTAAGACTCTAGCACTTCTTGAAAAGTTACACTCCTTGCCAACATCTTAGTCTCTGGAGAAACTAGGTAGGTGTTTATGAATGAGGACAGCAAAGAATTTACATAGTTTCATTATTAAAACAATATTTCATGGCCTCCTCGATCAATCCTGAGGGTCACAAAAATCATTAGGGGTAGAACTGACGCTAGAAACTAGCTTACCCTTAATCACTAAAATGTAAAAAAAAAAAAAAATCACTAAAATGTAATTTAAATCTGGAAAAGAAAAAACCTGTTTTCTCCTGGACTCTACCATTAACTCAGATAAGTGACATCACTAAGCATCTGTTAAATCCATGTCTGCTAAATGTTAAAAAGAAAAAAGAAGAGCCGTTTATTTGCTCTTTGGGAAATTGATCATTAAACCATACCAATAATAATAGTCCTGGCTGGCGCAGCTCAGTGGATTGAGCGCGGGCTGCGAACCAAAGTTTCACAGGTTCGATTCCCAGTCAGGGTACACATGCCTGGGTTGCAGGCCATGACCCCCAGCAACCGCACATTGATGTTTCTCTCTCTCTCTCTCTCTCTATATATATATATACATATATCTCCCTCCCTTCCCTCTCTAAAAATAAATAAAATCTTTTAAAAAAATTTTTTAAAAAGAAAGGAGATTAGTTTCATTCTTAAAAAAAAAAGAAAGTTATTCTTCTGCCACTAGCCAGCTGATGCTGACCAACTCATTTTATGTTTTTAAACCTCATTTTCCACATCTGTACAACAGGCTACCCTGCCCACCTCGTGCAACAAATTGTTACTGTGTGATCACCCAAACATGTTTATAATTATGATTACAGGCATACCTCGGAGATATTGCAGATTTGGTTCCAAACCACCATAATAAAGAGAATTTCACAATAAAGCAAGTCTCACAAATGCTGTTGGTGTCCCAGTGCCTATAAAAGTTATGCTTACACTGTACTAAAGTCTATGAAATGGGCGTTAGCATTATGTTTAACAAACAAGGTACATACCTTAATTTAAAAATACTTTATTGATAAAAAATGCTAACCATCATCTGAGCCTTCAGTGAGCCGTAATCTTTTTGCTGGTGGAGGGTCTTGCTTCGATGTTGATGGCTGCTGGCCAATCAGGGTTGTAGTTGCTAAAGTCTGGGGTGGCTGCAGCAACTTCTTAAAATGAGTGAACAAGGAGGTCTGCTGCTTGGATTGACTCTTCCTTTCACGAAGGATTTCTCTGTAGCATGCAATGCTATTTGACAGCATTTTACCCACAGCAGAACTTCTTTCAAAATTGGAGTCAATCCTCTCAAATCCTGCTGCTGCTTTGTCAACTAAACTTATGTAATGTTCTAAATCCTTTGTTGTCATTTCAACAATCTTCACAGCATCTTCGCCAGAAGTAGACTCCATCTCAAGAAACCACTTTCTTTGCTCATTCATAAGAAGCAACTCATCTGTTAAAACACCTGCTGCTTCACCTTGCGCTTTTATGTTACTGAGCCGGCTTCTTTCCTTAAACCTCTTAAACCAACCTCTGCTAGCTTCAAACTTTTCTTCTGCAGCTTCCTCCCCTCTCTCAGCCTTCATAGAATTGAAGAGAGTTAGGGCCTTGCTCTGTATCAGGCTTTGGCTTAAGGGAATGTTGTGGCTGGTCTGATCTTCTATCCAGACCACTAAAACTTTCTCCATATCAGCAATAAGGCTGTTTCGCTTTCTTATCATACGGGTATTCAGAGGAGTAGCACTTTCAATTTCCTTCAAAAACTTTTCCTTTGCATTCACTACTTGGCTAACTGTTTGGCGCAAGAGGCCGAGCTTTCGGCCTATCTCAGCTTTTGATAAGCCTTCTTCACTAAGTCTAATCATTTCTAGCTTTTGATTTAAAGTGAGAGATATGCGACTCTTCCTTTCACCTGAACACTTAGAAGTCATTGTAGGATTATCAACTGGCCTAATTTCAATATTGTTGTATAGGAAATAGGAAGGTCTGAGGAAAGGGAGACTACCAGAGGAAGAGCCAGCGGTGAAGCAGTCAGAATGCAAACATTTATCAATTAAGTCCAATGTCTTCTAATGTGGGCGTAGTTCGTGGCACCCCAAAACAATGACAATCGTAACACAGAAGATCACTGATCACAGATCACCATAACAAATATAACAATGATGAAATACAAAATACTGCAAGTTACCAAAACGTGAAACTGACACACAAAGTGAACAAATGCTGTTGGGAAAATGGCGCCGATGGACTTGCTCCTCTCAGGATTGCCAGAAACCTTCAAGTTGTTAGAAAAAAAAAACAAAACAAAACAAAACCGCAATATCTGCGAAGCGCAATAAAGCAAAGCGCAATGAAACGAGGTATGCCTGTACTATCACCATTACCATTCAGACAGCTCCCACCGTTCAGCTCTCACTCCAAATCACTGACCCCGCCTCCCGCCTGTCCCCGCAAAGGGTGATGATATCCGCTCATTCCAGCAGTTTCCGGATCCCGGGGCGCACAGACAGCAAAACCGGAGCCGGCAGCACCTCCGCGACACAGGGAAATGCCTACCGCAAACTGCGGGCAAGCCCTAGGCAAAGTTCAGTAGCCCGGACCAAAACCGCAGCTCTCCGCGGCGAAATCACCACCTTTGGGAGTTCGCGGAAGTTGCCCTTTCCCAGCTCCCTCCGCGTCTGCCCCGGACGGCTGCTCGCAGAGGCCAAACTTAGTGAGTCCAAAAGCAGTGCGCGCTATGACAGCCTACCTCTGCTGAGGAAGGTGTTGGCCCCGGATCTCCGGAGCACCAGCGGTATGGAGCGAGATCCCAGCGACAGCAGCCTCTTTTTCCGCCGTCTCCAGAGCCGCTCCCACGAGAAGGTGAAGCTGCGAAAAAGAAAGTCGGTTCTCTACGTGAGCCCCGAGAAGAGCTCGGGGCGCCTCGGGGGTGAGTGAGAGGACTGAGGACACCCAGAGAGAGGCTGTGGCGGGAAGTCGCGGGCTCGGAGCGAGGGCTCCACCTGCTGGGTAGGGGTGCCGAGAAATCGATGTGCGCTGGAGACAAGATTCTTCACCCCTGCCAGTTTGCAAGGCACTGTATTGTGTGTTGTTTAGTGCCGCCTTCCCGGCAGCCGTGTGAAGTGGCTAGGCATGATGCAGCCATCCTATTAATTTAGAGGGGGCACCCAGGCCAGGCGTTACCCAAGCTTTAGCAGCTGCGAGGGGCTGGTTCCTGGAGTGGGACCAGGTCCGATCCTGCCCCATTTCATTTGTTCCCGCTGCCTTCTCTTTGGTCAGGATGTGATGTTGGCAGGAGAAAAATCACCCCAGCAAGTTGGGGTGGGGGTGGATTTATTAAAGCTGGACTCCTCATTCAGTAATTATTGACTGTTGCCTTTTATGTGACGAGGACTAAACGGGCGGTATAAAATGAATGCCTAGTTACTCCTCTGGAAACCTGAGAACAACAAAGAGGAAACCTATACATTCAGTAAAAATTAAAACATTAATAGGTAAATTTTTAAGAAAAGGGGAAATCTTTTTGCTAAATGGAAAGTGAGGGTCGGAGGAGTGTGACCGGGCATTAGGGGTGGTGGGGAGGAGAGCCTGCTGGGCCCCAGCCCTCTTGCTTCCTTCCCCTACCCCAGGCCTTGTTAGAAGTTGCATGCCAGCAAGGTAAAGGTTAGTGAGGACAGTAAATTACCATACTTTCAACAAACAGTATGTTTTTCTTCTGCCTTAGTCCACAGAGAAAAGGCACGCGAGTGGGGGGCGGGCAACAGCGATAGTCCAGTGAGTTTTCTTCTAGTGTTTCTGGAAGAGGAGAGTTCAAATGGGGGCATGTATGTTGTGTTGAATGTCGCAATTGTCCGAGAAACATTGAAGATGTGTTTCATGAAAATAAGGGAGGAGACTTGGCAGGACCCCAGAATGATAAAAGAATCACAGTGGATCAGAGGTAGGTTGCAAACTCATACTCAGGAGGTCAACACAGGCAAGGCTAAGTAAGTCAAAGCACTCTGTATTTCAGTACCAGTCAGTTGCCAGTTGAGCTCTGTGTTGCCACATCTTAGTTTTGAAATGCTGCAACAGAGACTTTAATATAAATTCTGATTTTTTTAAGTTTTGGCAACTAAATTTAAAAATAATACTCTCTATTTAGCCTAGCGGCTGTCCATCTATGGTTAAGAGCAGGATGTTGGAGTCAACAGACAGACCTGGTTTTGAATCCTGTTTAGTCATTTACAACCTTTTTGACTTTGGACAAGGCAATTTACTTCTGGGCCTCAGTTTCCTCGTTTGTAAAAGGCAAATATCTACCCCATAGCATTATTTCGAGGACTGAATGAGATTATGCATGAAGAGAAATAAACTCAGTGCCTGGCTACTGAGTTTATTTAAAAATGTACAGATCATTGTATTTAATTTACAGATCACTGTTTGGCACATATACAAAAAGTTGCTACCTAAATTAGTAATTTGTTAGCTGGTTTCTTTCATTAGATACACATATAGGATCCACCTAAAGCCTTAGTTAACCCAATCACTTTTTCAGTATTTATCTTCTCTTTATATAATAAGTTGCAAGAAAGATTGGTTAAGTGAAAGGAGTGGTAAATCACCCAGCGGTGAGGCCCTGCTTTGAGAGTAGTTTGGAGGGGCCAGAGTTCACTAATATGCCTTAATAGAGCCTGGACAAGGGGCCAAACAGAGCAGCAGACTTCAGTTCTGCAAGCAACACTTGCCTGACTTTTGTGCCACAATTACCTGTTTTGTTTTGTTTTTCAGATCTTCTTGGTGAAAGCATTTATCTGGTCTTGTTTACCATAACATTCCGAATATGTAACTGCTTTTTAGTCCAGACAAGTTTTGTTCCAGATGAGTACTGGCAGTCTCTTGAAGTTGCACATCATATGGTTTTCAAATATCCTTTGTAGTTTCTTCTTCAAATTAGGAATGTGTATTCCTCTTAGGAATTTGGCAGTTTCTGTTACACATTTTCAATCAGTCCTTCATATTTTCTCCGAATAATTTTAATTTATCAAAGTACACCATTATTTTATTCTACTTTTCTAAATATATTTTATGCATAAAATATATATATATCTCTTTGATGTTAATGTATTTGACTTAACCTTTAGCATATATTCCCACAGTGTTCATGACTGTGGAGGACATATATGAGGTAAAAAAACACATTTCTGTCTTGAAGTTAAGAGTTTAGTTGGCCAGTTACATTTTTAATTTCAATATCTAATATAAAATTCTGTGTTTTTTAAAAAATGCTGTGTTTTTCAGCTGCTGTATCAAAAAATGACATAGTTTTATATATGAAAATGAAAGTAGGTTTCGTTTCAATGATATTTAACATTAGTCCTTAATATTACTAATTATGGTTATTTGACCTGGGAATGGACAGAAAGATTAAGAGGTTACACTTACCCCTTAATCTTTGCAAGCATTTACAAGATTCTGCATCTTTTGGGGAAAGATAATGTTCAGCTGCTGGTAAGTTTTACATAAGAGTAATCAAAATAGTCCTTAAAAGTAGATTTATTCCATCCTCTTTTTAATGTTAGTGTATATTAACTAAATGGTTTGATTGGTATCATGAAATTTGTTTTTAAATGGCTACTGTTGCTAAACTCTGACCATATCTGGGAAGCACAGGGTTCCAAAGACATCCTGTGATGTGAGTCTTTAATATGTGCTAAAACACAAGACTGAGCATGAAAGTGTCCTGCTGGGAGCAATTCTGCTAAGATTTTCATAATGACTATATTATATATTAATTATTTAGACTTTAGAAGTATATTTCCTTCATAGAGAATCACTTGAGAGCAGGTTGTATCTTTTTTTAACTTGTGAGCAGAAGACCATGTTGTATGAGCTTATGAAGATTAAATACATATAAACACACTGAGAATTTAGTACTGAAATTAAAACTTAGAAAAATTAATTTAACAAAAATTTAATGCTATGCACAGTTATTGTGCTATGTTGTAATTAGGCATCAATAATAAACAGGGCGGTAATTCCTGGATCATGGATTTCTGGGGTTATTTGTTAGGAGAGGATACAAAGGAAGAACTAATGGTACAAAAGTTTCTCTAACCTCACTGTCAGGATCCTTGAAGCTATCATCAAGTTGGACTCAGAACTTAGGGCCTTCCCCATTTTCTGTTAGGGAAGTACCCCAGAATTACAAAGGCACTCTAAATCCTGAGGGGTTTTTGAAGACTGAAAGACATTGAGGTTCTGGGGGGCAGGGGGTTGTTTGTTTGTGTTTTTTAAGACAGGATTGTACCCTCCCCTTCCCAATGGTATTTGATTCGCCATTACTGAGAAACAAGGATCAGACCTGTGAAATGGATCATCAGGAAATATCCTGAGCAGTAGCAGAGATTCTGTCATGGACACAGGCAGAACTTAGGAACTGTGAATTCTCTTTTCTCCTTTCAGGGCTAGCCACTAGCTTGTAGATCATGCAGGGTATAGTCTGCATAGTCTGGAACCACGGGCAGATATACACAGTGTCACCAAGGATGCCTCATTTCCCAGGAAGTAAGTTGTATTATAAATGAAAGGGTCTTCAAGACAGAAAAACTTCCTATTCCTCCAAGACCTGCCCACTGCCTTCAACCTGTAGCTGACCCCACCTGTCCATTTTGTGATTTAAAGGAAACCTACCCTGGTCACCATCCCTACCCCACACCACAAGCCCTCCCAAAAAAGCACTTAGTCATGTTCCAGGTGGAGAAAATCAGGATGCTATCAGTCATTAATACCATCATATTGATTATTTTAAATAAAGATCATTTAATGTGGAACTAGAAGGGGTCAGAGAAGTGAAGTATTTACATAGACAAAGGTCACATCATGCTAAAAGCAGAGCTAAAACTAGATCCAAAGTCTTTCCAGATCATTTCTCTCTAAACTGTACAAGGTGTGTGTACAAAATGAGGGATGACTTAGAGCTGCACTGTCCGATATGGTAGCCACTAGCCGGTTATTAAAATACTTGTGAGTCGTCCAAATTGAGAAGTGCTATAAGTATAAAGTACATATTGGATGTCAAAGACCTAGTATGAACTAAGAATGTAAAATATTTCTATAATTTTAATATTGATTAAAATGAGTATTTTAGATATACTGGGTTAAACAAAATTCATTTTATCAGTTTGATTTTTTAACTTTTTTATTTGATCACTATAAAATTTTAGATTACATATGTGGTTCACATTCTATTTCTGCTAGACAGTGCTGGCTTAGAACATGTGAGAAGAAAGGAGGATAAGAAGGGAGGCCTGCCCTGGCTGGTGTGGCTCAGTGGATTGAGTGACAGCCGGCAAACCAAAAGGTTGCTGGTTCAGTTCCCAGTCAGGGCACATGCCTGGGTTGTGGGCTAGGTCCCCAGCAGGGGGCATGCAAGAAGCAATCACATTGATGTTTTCCTCTCTCTCTTTCTCCCTCCTTCCCTTCTCTCTAAAAATAAATAAATAAAATCTTTTAAAAAATAAAAGAAGGGAGACCTGATGAGGTACCACAATGGGGCTTTAAATAGTCAGAAGATGGTCCAAGGGCATTTGGCTCCTGGAATTCAAGGGAGGAATCAGGAGCTTAAAGAACAGGATTATAGAATGGTAAATTGCCAACCCAGGCTTGGTGTTCCAGATTTACCCCGGGCGTGTTCCTTCTCTTCTTTACCCCACACCACTACTTTCTATTTTCCAGAAACCATATGAAACTATTATTTGTTAGGTCCTTACTGTTGTTAACTTTTCCAATTAACCTGGAAAATGATGGTACCTTAAGTGTCTGAAGAGACTGCTAATAACTGAGATTACAACTCCACTTATTTTTGTGTTGAGCTAAAATCTACCTGCTTTTAAGATTTTTACATGACAGGCTTTCAGAAAGTTGTATTCATCCAGGATGAACATCTCTAGTTTTACATCTCATAATCAGATAATGTCTTCTAAATATCTTGTAATTAATACCCACCTTAAAATGAGGGTCTCCAGACTGAGCATAGTATTGAAAGGTAGGGTAACTCGTTCAGAATAGTATAGTGGGACCATTTACTTCACTTCTCTCAGTGCTACACTTCTCTCAGTGCACAAGGATTCTTTTAGTTTTTTTAGTGGCTACCTTACAGTGTTGGCTCATTTAAGTTTGTAGCCAAATTGAGTTTTCAAATGAACCACTTTCAGGCCTGGAAAGTAAGCATGGAGCTTATAGATCTCCATGCAGAGTAAACAAAAGGTATGTAATAGGTGCCCTTTACTACATTTGATGGGGCACAGTTTAAGTGAAAATATGAAGTACAGCATACTTATACCTGTAAGATTTAAGCAGTTATTTACAGGTTAATGAAAAGAAAAAGAACACAAAGCTAAAGTGTTAGAAGTCATAGGCAACTGAAAGTTAAGCAGCTCTAATTATAATGTAAAGTTAATATTTTGAGCCAACAAAAATACGAATTTATATATTTTTAGAAACATCTTTTGAATAAACCAACATTAAATTATGCTCTACAGCAAAGTGCTATTTTGTTAATGATAACTATGACACACTTTTTTAAAAAACTTTAAGATGCTAATGTATAGCATTAAAATTACTAACTCTAAGTTATACAGTGATGGGCAAAAGTAGGTTTACAACTGTTCCTATGGGAAATAATACAATAATAAATAATAATATAAGAATAAACTCTTGTGTTTCACATACAACTGTAAACCTACTTTTGTTCACCCCTGTGTGTATATATATATAATATTTTTAATTTCTTTTAAATTTTCTCTAAAATTTACTCTTTAATGTCATCTAAATGTTATTTCATTTTCTATATTGTAAGATGGGGAAGCATTGTAACTTAATCGCTAAGAGCTTAGACTCTGGGGTCAGGGAGACGTGTGTTTGAATCCTGGCTTTCACATTAACTAGCTATACAGCCTTGGGAAAGTAAGTTACCTAGCCACTCCGCACCTCAGTTTTCTCATTTATAAAATACTATCTATATCATGGGATTATTTGGAAGACTGAATGAGCTGATATATATAAAGTACATACTTAATGTGGCACCTAGCACACAGTACTATAAACATCTTATTTTAAATTACCTATTGTTATCCTAATGAAAATAACTATGCTTCTAAAATAGAACTTGAACAGAATGAAATGGTTTGCTGACTTTTTAAACTAAAATTAGTAGTGTGTTATATATATGTGTATATATATACATATGATAATGGTAAAACTACTTTGGGTATTTACATGAAAAATTAATGTAATTTTTGTAGAAAAACAGCAATTTTTGTAGAATAAAATAATACAGTATATTTACTTTTGTACTAAGTACAGCTTTCAATTGATAGTTGGATTAGCTTGTTGATATCTCATGGTGATTCAGTGTGAACTAACAGATGTTTTTAATATCTTTTATTTTCCACCCATGAAGATTTGGATTCCTAGACTTGCCCAGGCACTTCTGTCTGCTATAGCCGACTTGAGGCTTTATTCATTAATGAAGCAACTAGAAAATCAGCAAGTAGCAAAATGGGTGGTAAGTCTTGAACATTTTAGAAACTCTATGCCAGTCATCTCATTCCTATAAGCATGAAAGACAGGGAACAATATCGATTCCCCAACTGGTTTCAGAAGACAATTCATATAGCCTTACAGAGGTACTTCCATAATCAAGGACAGTAGAATGCGAGTGGTGCACACCATCTCTCTCCGGACTGGGCCCCAGGCAGCAGTCCCTGATGCCCTCAAACCCAGAGAGGCTGAACCCTAGGAGACAGCCTTTGGAAGCATCTTCACTCCTCCAGTTGCCAGAGTCCTTGCTTCACTTGCCATAACATTCAGTAGGAATAGTTCTAAATTGTTGCCTACCTCACCAATGACCTCAGCCACTTACAGCCCTGTTCACTATTCCTCAGCCTGAGAAATACCTTTTCACCGAAGCATTCTTCACCTCGGGCTAGAGTGTTTGAAATAGCTGGACTGTCTAAGGGAGAGAAGGTAGTGTAAAAGGCAGTCTTTTGTCATTTAGCTTATTTCACAGTGGGAAGATAGATTCCTGATCTCACAGTCAAATCTTGAATGGGTTTTCCCATTTAATCCATATCCTGAAGAGTGATTGGAGGCTGAAATACTGTTGCTACTTTACTTTGGCTCTTTCCTAAAGTAAGCTTATTTGAGCCACCCTAGAAATCTTAATTACCTTTTTTAATACTGTTTTTAATGGAAAATATGTTTCAAATTCCGAGTAACCAATTCACCAACACATTTCTGGGATATAACATAACTATTAATAAATATTAACTTATGAAAGATTAACAGGACATATTTTTGCAGGTAGTGTGTTGATTTGCATTAAAAAGACAGATTGGTTTAGCAAATGAGCCCTTGCTAATTGATTCCAGAATAAAAACAGTCTCTACTTTCTGTTTCTGTACACTGCTGAAGGCTCAGCCTACAATGACAGAGGCATAGTGCCTTTGAAATCCTTGCTCCAAAGTAGAAGCACTAGGTTTTTCTAGTTTAGGAAAAGCCTTTAACTCCACAAAAATTGGAAACAATTTTTAAAGGCTATATTTAAGGAGATAGGAAGCTAGTATGCCTGTTTAACACCCTTGCATCAACTAATAGGCTTCTTTTAAGGTAGTTGTTTTGTAGACTTACTGATGATGTTTACATAGTTTTCTAAAAACTGGTTGATTAATTTAATCAATCTCCAAATTAAAATTTAATGATGTCTCCTGATAGGTTTTTTTCTCTCTTATGTTGTTTTAATTTTCCATCAAGAAATAGGGCAACATCCCAAACCAAGATCAATAAAAATGATCAATTTACTTGGCAGTACTATAAAACAAGTTCAGTAATACTGATTAGGAGAACATAGTTATAAACTTCAGTTCTCTATAAACTGTACCATCAAAGGATTTGTGTTTTGTGCCTTTTATTAGTGGGAAGTGAGATTAGATCAAATGCAATGCCATAAAAATGTATCTGAAAGTATAAACTTAACTTTAATAAATATAGATCTGATATCATAGACCTGTATTTGATACAAATTCTCAAAAACAATGTTTGGGCATGCCTACTTTTCACATTACTTACCTTTTGATAGGATTTTTGCACTATTTAGACTTGCTGGCTATTTTCTGTAGAATAGAACACTAAAAGTCAATTTCCCACTCCGTATATATTTGCTCATAATTGTTCTTAGTTTTTTTGCCAGTTATGCTCTTGGTTCACGTGGTATTGCTGTACCAGAACTCTTACCAATACCATGGAAACTGTTCTCACCATAATTGCTCTTTTCTACTATCCTTTGGAAGGTTCAAAGTCTATGAACAGGTAAGATATATTACTGTTAATATACAAAACTCTAAAGCATGCTTTTGAAAAATCTTAAATATCAACATATTTCAATGTCCAGTGGACTCCATAATGTTGATGAAGTTTATTACAACAATAAATTTTTAATGGATACATTTATTATAGCAGGAAACAGATATTCTCAAACTGAGTAATTAAGGAGAGGTTAATAAAAAGACCATTTACAAGAATATAGATGTTTAGAAAAACCAGTAAGGAGATACCATAGTACCCCAGGACTGGGCTCATCAGGAAGTTTTTACTACTCCTTGGCCCCAAGGAGCAAGGAGAGGAAACATTACTAGAATCCATGCAGATCTGTAACTTTCACCAGGCCCCAGCAGAAGGCACAGCCAGCCTGTAGCCATAACAAAGAGAGAGCTGAGAGAATGAAATACCCTGACTCAACTTGCTATCCTCCAATTAGCTAAAGGCAATCAGAAAGCAAGATAGCCCATTGATAGGGTCTATATAGGTGAGCCTCCCTGCACATGCAGTAGGTGAAAAGTAGAGAACACATCTAGAAGGGCAAATGGAAAATATATGGACTTCACTTGGGCATATACATATAAACTGGGGAAACAAATACCAAGTGAAAGGAACAACATGAGCAAAGTCACAGAGCTGTGGGGGAGCTTCACTGTATTTCTGGCAGTTTTTCCAAAGTAGCTTATATGTGGTACGGTTTATGGGAGAAGAGAATAAGGGATGAGGCTGAAAGGAACTTGGCCCTTCTCCAGAAGTAGAACTTTATAGGTAGGTCGTAGGGAACCATTGGGGGCTTTTGAGAAGCAGGACATTATCATGTCTGATTTTGAAAGAATTCTCTTTAGTAGCTGGTATTTAGGATGTAATGAAAGGGAGCATGCCATAGTTTGAGTCTAGTTAAGAAACTAGTGTCCATTCTTCGTATATAAAAAGGTGGTTATGAGGATGAAATTAAGTAAGATCATTTCTGCATTAGACTCCTGACTGCAAGAATAGTCATTCAATTATCTATATGATGAGGACTTGACTACAAGACAAAAAGTGCAAATAAGGAAAATGGGCATTTTAGGCTTGTGGTCAGGCCTGCAAGAAAATTACAGAATATCTCAGCCACACACAAGAATTAGAAGGTTATGCAGAATGCAAGGTAGTTTTGAGGAATGGGCTATTTTCTTGTGCCTTTATAGCCCAGCCTATGAATCCCTGTTTTAGTCATCCATCATTTTGAGGCTTAGCCAGTCTCTCTGTCCACTTCCTGTGTACCTCTCATTCACCTGAGAGAATCTGATTAGGTCTTTTTAATGTCATTGTCCCTATTTGGACATAGTTTTCACACTGGTCAGCCTTACATTGGCTGCCTGGGCTCAGATGCCCTTCTCCAAAACAGTCAGGAAAGGAGGACCACGTGGGACAAGTCACCACTATATAAGTATTCTTTCCATGACAGGTACTATTCCTAGCCTGTCAGTAAATGACATTTTGCAAAGTACTTTGAAATCCAAGTATTATAAGTGAAAGATTTTTAAGGGTGGTATGAGAATATCTAAGCACTGATTTCTGTAAAAAGAGAATAACAGAATAGCTGTCATAGAAATTAAATAAAAATCCATGTAAAGTGTACAGCATAGGACCTAGTGCAAAGTGCTCAGTAAGTATTGATAATAACAATGACGTTATTATTAAGTAAAGCAATGTTTCTGAGCAATACGAAAAAAAAACTACAAAAAGATTCCCAACAAATGTCAGGACTTGATGTGAAATTATGCCAGTGGGAATAGGAGAGAAACAAAGTGGGTGTATGGATGAGAAGTTGCTATTTAAGGTGACTCCAAGATTTTAAGACTGCGAAACTGAGTGATGGGTTAACTTACATACTAGACACTGAACAGGTGTGAGGGGAAGTTGCGGAACTCATTTCAGACACTTGATTTTGAACGCCACGAAGAGATCTATGTCGAAATTGTCAGAAAGGAGTAAGAAGTCCAAGCCTGAAAATTGGGGGTGAGGTTAGGACTGGAAATATACATTTGATTGTCCCCTAGAAAGTTTCACTATAGCAGAAGACTTGTCTGCAAGTCAGAGCAAGCCAGAACTGTTTTATTTTGCTTGGCAAGTTTTAAAATTGGATAATCTTACATAACATCTGGATTTCTGGTTTCTCTTGGGGAAAAAATAAAATAGAAGGTCTAACAACATTTTGGGCCAGGATCCCTTCATGACAATATCAGAGTCCACACATAGCCTACATCACTCATTTTGAGCACTTACTTGATCTGTGTAAGCATTTGAATTTGAAATCTTTGCTGTTACCTCCTTACAATTATTAGTTACAATTATAACTAATAATTGTAAAGAATTATATAATTATTCTTAATAAAATTGTAAGAATTGTAAAGAATTATAAATAATAATATAATTGTATATTATTATTCTAACAATAATAATTGTTAGGATTGTCAATTCTAAGAATAATAATTGTAATTGTTAACAGGTAAATAATAGTACCATAAAGTTATTTTTGTTTGCTAGCTTTCAATTTTTAGCAGGGCTAAGAATATTTCCGGGTGATAATTTTCTGCCTGTAGTCCATGATTAAATCTTTTTTAGCCATTGAAAGAAGTCCTAATAGTAAAAATCCACATTTCTATTCATGATCCATCATTTAGGTTTTATGGCAGTTTTTTTAAATCATATACATGTTGGCTATAATTTGCAGCTTTCAAAATAAAATCATATGGGCTCAGAAGCCCAGCATTGCCTAAATAATCCTAATGTTCATTTAAATACAGTTGGTGTCTTTCTTAGAGAATGGTTTTGTGTGACTTTGATATTCCTATGGGAGACTCGGTCATTTTTCCATCAGGAAAGCAACTGGCAGGATTGTATGGTTGAAAGATAGTATACCTTTCAGCAAACAAGACCAACGATAAGACGTAGAAGAACTGTTGATTTCAAAATATTAGAGCTGGGAAAAACCTTAGATATTATATTTTTAAGGATGAGAAAAATTTAAGAGCCAGAAAGTATAAGTAACTTTCCCAAGTTCACATAGCTATTTATACCAAAAGGAAAATGCCCCCATTTTTTTCAAAGTGTTATATCAAAGTGTAAATAGTAGATAACTTCTAAACTCATTTGCCAGTTGTCTTGACAATACATTTTCCTTGTTTATAGTGTCAAGTACTCATCCCTGGTGGCACTTGCCTTCATAATTCGTCCCACAGCTCTCATTCCATGGATACCTTTGTTCTTCAGACATTTCTGGCAAGCACAGAGAAAGCTTGATCTTATTCTACATCAGTTCTTACCTGTAGGGTATGTATTGCTATAGTCCATCTGTTGATTTTATTTTTTATATAGTTTCTTATTTTTTAATTTTAATAACCTGTAATTTATATATTATGAACATGATTTTACAACTTGTCCTGGCCAAGTGGCTCAGTTGGTTGGAGCACTGTCCCATACATCAAAAGGTTGTGGGTTTGATTCCTGGTCAGGGCACACACCTAGGTTGCAGATTCAGTCCCCAGTCAGGGTTGGGGTGTGTATAGGAGGCAACCAATCAGTGTTTCTCTTTCTCTGTTTCTAAAATTAAAAAACACGTCCTCAGGTGATGATTAAAAAAATAATTTTACATCTTTTAATTATATCTTCTAATGTCAATAAGAATTATCAGACTAAGGAAACAAAATATTCCCAAATTTATATTTCAATATTTATGATTCTGGTTAACTATAAGTATTTTAACTTGCTTAAATGAGAAAGAATCTTTGCAATTCTTCTTAGAACTTTCCTATGCATTATTTCTTAAATATTTCCTGGGTGCATTTTAGAGAAACTTGATTTTTTTTACATTTGTACATAGCTTTATAATTTATAATGTGCATTCACATATTACCACATGATTTTCAAAATTTTTCATCTAGCAATGTAGGTGTTTTTGTTGTGTGGAAGGAATGGACTTGGCGATATTAAAAATGAGTCAGCCAAAGTCATTAGGTTGGTTGCTATGATGGAACTAAGATTGAAACCCAGGTCTTCTAACTATACTTTGAGCTGTAAGATCAGACTTAACCTAAGTATCTAGCAGAGTATCCAACACAGTTATTTATTAATAAGGGATGAATGTATTCTGACTCTTAGAACAGTGATCTTTTTTTTTTTCAAGATTTTATTTATTTATTTTTAGAGAGGGAAGGGAGGGAGATAGAGAGAGAGAGAGAAACATCAATGTGCGGTTGCTGGGGGTCATGGCCTGCAACCCAGGCATGTACCCTGACTGGGAATCGAACCTGCGACACTTTGGTTTGCAGCCCGTGCTCAATCCACAGAGCTACACCAGCCAGGTAGAACAGTGATCTTTTCATATACTAGTATACACTCTATACAAGTATTTTTTGATAATAGTAAAAAGGATTAATTCATCTGGTAACTAAACCACTGTTGTCATTTCTGTTTTATAAAAATTGTTTTGAATGTAATACATTCATTCAGCAAATATTTACGTATTTAACCCTAGTGTGTGCCGGGTACTGTTACAGATGCTGGAGATAGAGCAGTTTAACAAAGTCCCTGCATTCATGAAGTTTGTATGTTAGTGGGGAAAGACAGATAGCCAAACACAAGCATGCATTTGTAATATATATTTGTCAACTGACGATAAGTGCTATAGGAAAAAATAATGAGATAAGAAGGATAGAATGCTGGTGCAAGGTGGAAAGGGTGTTACATTTTACAGAGTAATTGAGGAAGACCCCACCATGATAAGGTGACACTGGAGCCAAAACCTAAGGGGTCTGAGTGAACCATGTAGAGGAGGAAAAAATATTCCAGACAAAGGAATCAAAGTGCAAAGGCCTTGACACAGAGATTGTTTGGCATTTCCCAGGAGCAGCGGAGGGGACCGGTGTGTCTAAAAAAGAGTGAGCTTGGGACAATGTGATAGTGAGGTCAGAGGGAGAACAGGGGCGTAGTCATTAGGCTTTTACACCGAGGGGGATGAAAATCCTCTTACTCTTAGCACTATGATATCGTTTAGTCATTCAGCAAGCTTTAACATACTTTGTGTCTAGCATTTGATGATTCAGAGGTCAGACACAGTGTCTGCTCCCAAAGTCAAAAGGCTCAGGGAAAAGACTGTCTTTCCACACTAGAACGTAAACTTCATGAAGGAAACTAAAGGGACATGACAGTTGAACACAACATATGACCAGGAGCTTTTATTTCTTTATATAAAATACATTTTGGGGACAATTGGCAAAATCTGAACAAGGTATAAATTAGATAGCCATAAAGACTTAGTGTTTATTTCTTGACTGTGAGGATTGGTGGTTTACATAAGAGAATTTTTTTATTTTTAGGAAATACCCACTCAAGTATTTAGGGATACAGGTGAATTTTGACTGCAACTTATTGTCAGCAGTTCAGAAAAAAACTATATTTAAAGAGACAAAGAAAAGGATGAAGCAAATATGGTAAAATGCTAATATTTAGGGTACTAGGAGAAGGATATATGGGAATTTTTTGTACTGTTCTTGCAACTTTCCTCAGAAAACATGTCAAAACAAAAGTTAAAAGAAGTATCATTTACAGTGGCATCAAAAAACATCAGATGCCTACAAATAAAATAATGAAAGGTATATAAGACCTCTGTACAGAAAGCTACAAAACATTATTGGAAGGAAGTAATGAAGACCTAAATAAATGGAAGAATATGCCGTTCATGATGGAAGACGTAATATTTTAAAGATACCAGTTCTCCCCAGATTGATCTATTCAGTGCAATACAGTTAAAATCCCAATATGGGGATGGGGGATGGTGAATCGATAAGCTGATTTTAAATTTAAGTAGACTGCAAAAGGCCAATAGAGTCCTGACTGGTGTAGTTCAGTGAATTGATCATCCGCCTGTGAACTGAAAGGTTGTTGATTGATTCCCAGTCAGGACACATGCCAGGGTTGCAGGCTAGGTCCCCAGTAGGGGGCGTGTGAGAGGCAACCACACATTGATGTTTCTCTCCCTCTTCCTCCCTTCCATCCCCTCTCTCTTAAAAATAAATAGATAAAATCTTTTTTTTTTAAAAAAAGGCCAGTAGAATATTGGAGGAAAAAACTGTTGGAAGCCTCACATTTCTACATATCAAGATTAATTACAAAGTTACGGTAATTAATGCAAGGTAAAACAGATAGACTGGTGGAACACATCAGGGTCCAGCAACAGACCCAGACATAAATGCCCATTTTATTGCTTATTGCCAATTGGCAAATATATATTACAAATGCATACTTGTGTTTGGCTATCTGTCTTTCCCCACTAACATGTAAACTTCATGAATGCAGGGACTTTGTTAAACTGCTCTATCTCCAGCATCTGTAACAGCATCCGGCTCCAATGATGTTGGAGTACAGCAGAGAAAGAAAGGATAGTCTGTTCAATAAGTATAGAATTATGGATATCCATATAAAAAATTAATATTGATTCTGACTTGCCACCATAAGCCCCCCAATAAAAACCAAAAACCCAAGGCAGGGGTGTCAAACTCATTTTCACCGGGGGCCACATCAGCCTTGCAGTTGCCTTCCAAGGGCCAAATGTAATTTTAGGACTGTATAAATGTAACTACTCCTTAACAGTTAAGCAAGAGCTTGGCACTGCTGCTGGGTAGAAACAAGGTGCCAGGCCGGATAAAACAAGGTGACAGGCTTTGTGTTTGCCACCTGTGCCCAAGGGAATTAAAGATATAGGACCCTGGCTGGCGTAGCTCAGTGGATTAAGCACGGGCTGCGAACCAAAGTGTCACAGGTTCGATTCCCAGTCAGGGTACATGCCTGGGTTGCAGGCCATGACCCCCAGCAACTGCACATTGATGTTTCTCTCTATCTCCCTCCCTCCCCTCTCTAAAAATAAATAAATAAAATCTTGAAAAAAAAAGATACTAATGTAAAGGTAAAAGAGTAGCAAAAGAGTAGCACTTCTGCCAGATATGATGGAATATCCTTGTGACCTTGAGGCAAAGATTTCCTAAATAGAACATAGTGTTAAGTATAAAGGAAAAAGATAGATAAATTTGAATATGTTAAAATTCAAGACTTTTTTCATCAAATTCACCATTAAGTAGTGAAAAAGCAAAGCAAGGCATAGATCAGAAGGTATCTGCAATACAAAAAAACAAAAATGTATAAATTACAATATAAAATAACAAAAATTATATAAAGAACTTACAAAAATCTGTAAGAAAAAGGCAACTTAATAGAAAATTGATGAAAAGACCTGAACAGGCACTTCGAAAGATATTTCAATAGCTAGGAAGTGTAAAAATACTCACCTCATCAGTCATCAAGGAAATGTAAAGAAAATCATCATGACATGCTTCTATGAATCTACCCAAGTGGTGTAAAAGGATATAGAACCCTTATATATGCCTGTGGAAATGTAAATTGATACAACACTTTGGAATTAAGTATAAACTAAAGCTGATTGTGCCTACAGCCTAGGGCCCAGTAATTTCAACCCTATGTGTATACTCACAGAAAGGCATATATATGGGAACCAAAAGATGAGTCAAAGGATGTTCATAGCACTGTTAATACTACCTAAAAAAGGGAAGCACAGTGACCAACAGAATACATTGTGGCATACGAATTCAGTGGAATCCTGTACAATATTATGAATTAATGTACTGCTGCAGTATACAAAAAAAATGGTTAAATCTCACATTCGTTGATTGTAGGAAACTGGACACGAGTATATATAGTATGATTCCATGTAAAATTCAAAAAAGGTAAAACTGTATACTGTCAGAAGTCAGGGTAGTGGTCCCCTTTGGGAAGGGAGTGGAGATTGACTGGTTGGAGGGATGAAGGGACCTTTTGAAGTGCCACTGATGCTGTGTCCTGATCTATATGACAGTCACACAATTATGTTCATATTGTGATGGTTCATGAAGCCACATACTCATCCTCTGCTCTGTGTGTGTTTGTCACAGGCAGCCTGAGATGCCCTCCACTAATCTCATTACCTTAATATTCATTAAATCATAATTCTAGTAATCTTGTATAATCCCCTTACCTTGAGCATGCAGCAGACATTTTGACTTAATTCTAACAAACAGAAATGGCAGAAGGGATGTCACTTCCACAACTGGTTTGTAAAGATCATGGTTTCCATCTAAGATGCCTGTCTCACTCTTTCTTAGTTGGCTTGTGCTGGGGGATGCCACATGCCATGTCTTGAGGCAGCTTCAAGGAGAGGGTCACATGGGGGAGCCTAAGCTCTGCCAATAACCTTGTGAGTGAACTTGGAAGCAAATCTCCCCATTACCACCCAAAAAGCCTTGAGATGAACCTATAATTCTAGCTAACACCTTGGGTTTTTCTTTAATATATTTTGGTTATGCTATTACAATTGTCCCAACTTTTTCCCCTTAGTCCCACTCTATCTGGTAACCCCCATTCCCTCTGGCAACACTCCCCACTCTTAGCTCATGTCCATGGGTCATGCATGTAAGTTCTTTGACTACTCCATTTCCTGCACTGTTCTTAACAACCCCTGTAACTACCAATTTGTGCTTCTTAATCCCTGCACCTTTTCCCTTAATCTCTCCCTTCCCCTGCCCAACTGATAACCCTCTATAATCGCCATACCTATGATTCTGTTCCTGTTCTAGTTGTTTGCTTAGTTTTTTAGATTCAATTATTGATAGTTGTGAATTTATTGCCATTTTAATGTTCATAGTTTTGATGTTTTTCTTATATAATTCCCTTTGGCATTTCATATAAGAATGGCTTGGTGATGATAAGCTCCTTTAGTTTTACCTTGTCTAGGAAGCACTTTGTCTGCCTTTCAATTCTAAATGATAGCTTTGCTGGATAGTCATCTAGGTTGTAGGTCCTTGCTTTTCATCACTTTGAATACTTCTTGCCAGTCTGTTCTTGCCTGCAAAGTTTCTTTTGAGAAATCAACTGACAGTCTTATGGGAACTCCTTTGTAGGTAGCTATGTGCTTTTGTCTTGTTGCTCTTAATGTTATCTTTTTATCTTTAACCTTTGGCATTTGTAATTATGATGTGTCTTGGTGTGGACCTGTTTGGGTCCATCTTGTTTGGGACTGTTTGTGCTTCCTGGCCTTGTATGTCTATTTCCCTCACCAAATTAGGGAAGTTTTCTTTCATTATTTTTTCAAGTAAGTTTTCAAGTTCTTGCTCTTCCTCTTCTTCCTCTGGCACCCCTATGATTTGGATGTTGCTATGTTTAAAGATGTTCTATGTCTAAAGAGCCCAGAGGCTCTTTAGCCTATCCTCATTTTTAAAATTTTTTCTTCTTGCTATTCTTATGTTCCAAGTCATTGATTTGATTCTGTTTCATCCACACAACTGTTGGTTCCTTGTAAATGTTTCTTTATTTCACTTACCTTCATTTCTGCATGGGTCTTTTTTTATGCTGTTGAAATACCCAATGGGTTCCTGGAGCATTCTGATAACCTTTTTTGAACTCTGCATCTGATAGATTACTTAGGTACATTTTGTTTAGTTCCTTTTCTGGAGTTTTGGTTTGCTCTTTCATTTGGGCCATATTGCTCTATCTCCTCAATTTGGCAGCCTCCCTTTTTTTTTCTTCTCTGTATTAGGCAGGGCTGCTTTGACTGCTTGTCTTAGTAGTGTGGCCTACTGTATAAAAGTGCACCTGTGAATTTAATGGGGTGGAGCCTTAGACAGTCTTCAGAACAGGGCAACCTGTGTGGAAGAGGGCTCAAAAGAGGGGATAATTCTGCTGCCTGGTGTCTGGAGTCGTACCCAGGAGAAAGCTGTCTCCCAGCACTCACTTTATTGCCAGTCACTTCAATTTCTTCCTGTATGCCACTGGTGCTGAATCCCAGAGGGGGTGAGTCTGCATGAGTCGTAAGCCTATTGCCAACCCACTAAGAGGAGTCTCTTGAGAGTCCCAGTTTCTTCTGCTGCACCAACCCCCCACTGGTTTTTACAGCCGAAGTTATGGGGACTTACTGTATTTTGCTGTGTATAATACACTCCACGTATAATGCATACCCACATTTTTGGCCCAAACTTTCAGGGAAAAAGTCATTTTATTTTTTAAATTCAATTTTTAATTTATATCTAGAAACAAACCTGATTATCATATTCCAGGGTATTATTTTGTATATGGATATCATTATTGCTTTCTAGAGTTACACTTTTAACACGAGTTAAAAAATTAAAAACATTTATATAGATATGGAATTAGTACTACCCACGTATAATGTGCATCCTTATTTTTCCCTCAAAAACTTAGGCAAAAATGTGTGCATTATGCATGGCGAAATACAGTATCCTCCTGGTGCTGGAATCCTGGGCTGCGTGGTCTGCCTGGGATCCTTCACTCCTGAGATCTCTCTCCCAATTTTTATCCACCACATATGGATGTGGGGCCACCTGTTCCACATCTCCACACTTCTCTGTGCCACTTTGTGCCTCTGTTTCTCCCCATGCCTTTCCACCTCTCCGCACCTCCACACGTCTCCACCCCTTCTACCTGTCTGGATGACTGTGGCTTCTTTAAATCCCTGGTTGTCGGACTTACACACTGCTTAATTTTTTGACAGTTCCAGGTGATGTTTTTGTAGTCTAGTACTAATTTTTGCTGTCATCGTCCAAGGAGAGGCACATTTACCTACACCTTCATCTTAACCAGCCCAGCGAATATCTTGACAATTCATGAAGGACCCTGAGCCAGAGACACTCAGCTAAGCTGTGCCTGGCTGAATTCTTAACTTGAGAAACTGAGAAAATAAATGTTTTAAGTTGCCAAGTTTAGGGATCATTTGTTATGCAGCATTACATAACACAGTGTTTAGTACTTTTTTAAGTTTGCTTAAATGCAGCTATGTAATGTCTTTCAAAACATGTAAATCCATATTCAGTATATGAAACTAAAACATTTTTAAAGTGGCTTTTTCAAAAATGGCTTTGATAAAAGGCACTTTTTGCAAACCCATATGCCAATACTGGATATTCAGTAAATTCAGAATGTTAATCATCCTTTTGTTTTTCATTTTCAGATTTGTCGCTTTGAGTTGTTCTCTGATAATCGATCGTATGTTTTTTGGTCAGGTGAGTAAAATATATTAAGGTATTTACAACAGATTGTAAATAGATGTACAACAGATGTAAATCTAGCTATTTATTACAGTATAAGCTTGACCCGATTTTTTAGTTCATGAGTATTTGGAAACACAGGCAAATCATTAAAAAAGACTGCCAACATGTGCCTTTGGTTCAAGTTGTTGCACTTTCTATATAACAGAACTGTGTACTCCTAGTTCAAATTCAGGAGTACATTTTGTAAGGCATTTTTGTCAGATTTGTAAGCAGTAAATGTTAGATTTTTTTTTTAATGACTTTAGTTGGCCTCAAGGTAATCATTAAGAATTCAAATCAACCATAATACTCTATTCTTCAAGCATTTGGCTTGGCATTTTAATCTCGTAACTGTTGGTTGTTTTTAAGTTACTTGTTTTTCAGTCGCTTAAGGGCTCTGGAATCAGATTGCGTAGTGCCCTTGCTATTAGCTGTGTGACCTTGGATATGTCATGTACCTTTCTTGCCTGTTTCTTTACCTAGAAACAATTGTGGTACTTGTCTCATAACCTTAAAGGGCTAAATGAGATAACACATGTAATGCTTACAGTGGTGCCTGGCACAAGCAAGTACTCAACACTAGCTGTTGTTGCTTTTGATTATCTGCTTTGTATCATACTTCAAACTGCAGTGTTTCCAAAGCTTTATCGTACTAGGTAATATGTGATGTGAGGTACTGGAATCAAAAATTTTTTTAAAGAATGTATTTTACTTTTTAAGATATTCTTTATTTACTTTTAGAGAGAGGGGGATGGATAGAGAGAGAGAAACATTGATTGGTTGCCTTTCATATGCCCCCAGCTGGGAACCTGGCCCACAACCCAGGCATGTGCTCTGACTGGGAATCGAACCAGTGCCCTTTCAGTTCACAGGCTCAGTCCACTGAGCCACACCAGCCAGGGCTTTAGCTCTAATTTTATGTAAAACTTAAGGTCAAAATTTGAATGTGTATTCACTTTCTTGAATCTCAAAAACCTCTTTTTTACAAATTAACAAAGAACACATTAATACTTAGAACATAAAAAAAAATACTTCATATGATCATTAATCCAAATTATTATTGTAAACTATTACTTGGTTTTTAGGCTTCATTCCTGATTTAATGACAAGATACTGCCAAATTTCCTAATGCCAAAGATTCATGCTTGGCACTAACACATTTCTGTTTCTCTTTCCTTCAACTATGCCAGTGGACTCTGGTTCAGTATAATTTTTTGAAATTTAACGTGCTGCAGAATTTGGGAACATTTTATGGTTCTCATCCATGGCACTGGTACTTCAGTCAAGGATTTCCAGTTGTTCTGGGCACTCACCTACCCTTCTTTATTCATGGCTGCTTTCTAGCCCCAAAGAGGTACCAGATACTTTTGGTGACTGTGCTGTGGACACTTCTGGTTTACAGGTAAGATTTTATTTGTTCAAATAGTTAATTTTAATAATGTTACCAAGAAATTAAATTCTTCAAAAAGTAAACTGTTACCTTTTGGAGATGCATTAAAGATTATGACTTGTTAATTGGGATAATTTAGCAAACAGAAAAGGTAGTAATTACACCAGTGCTCAGATAGAATGAATTGTTTTGATAGTTTAGTTTACTTAACAAAGATTACATTCAATTTTTAGGAAGTTGAACAAATTTCATTTAAGACCTAATCTCTAGGTCTTAAAAAACAGACTACCAAAATTTTAAATATGGAAGGAACCAGAGAAGTAATATTCTAAAGTGAAAATGTATGCATCTTTCTTCCAAATTTGAGTAATGTGACTTGGATTGGTAACAGAAATTTCTTAGAATGTAATTGCACCTTAGACACTCACATCAAATGTTAGGGTTATTTTTAACACATCACCTTACAACTGAAAAATGTGATACTCATTCCTGAAGCAAGAAATTCAGTCTCAGTACTTCGAAGAACGTGTCCTGTTAATTGTTTCATTTTAAATGCATTAATTTATTAAAGTGTGTAATATAAGAAAATATTTTATTGTTTTTCTATTATAGCATGTTGAGCCACAAAGAATTCAGGTTTATCTATCCAGTTTTACCATTTTGTATGGTATTCTGTGGTAAGTATTTTTGTTCAATATAGAAACAAATTATATAGAAGTAGGTAAAAGACAGTAAACTCTCATTAAAGTCTAAAATACTTGTTGTCAACTAGGCTAAAAGAGAATTGCTTCTAATAATAAAATATGTTACTGCAGTATTCTCATTTTGCAGCCTAACTATCCTTTTTGCTGTGTCCTATAAAGTGAGATGAAATCATAAGGATCCACTGTCTGAAGTGCCCTCTGGTGGCAGTGTTTCTGGCTATTGGAAATCTCTCACTAAAAAGCGATGGAATAATGTCTATTTTAGAAAAGATACTTTATGATTATATTAGTAAGTTTTGTTCTGTAAATATACTTGTAGCTATTAATACTAGTTTTTAATTCTTTAAGACTCACTCTAATGCATATGCAATTTGTAAAGTGATTCACACCTGATTTTATTTTTGGCCCTTCATCTTTTCCAGTAGGTCTTTGCAATTTTTTTTTATATGTCACTTTTAGAGTTTTATATCATTCAGCTTTGGAATTTTTACACTGCTTATTTTGGAGAAACTATGAATTGAAACTTTATTAACTTCAATTCAAAATAAATGACTGTTGATTTCCTTCAAATATTAATCACTAAAAAAATCACTGGACTGGGGAGGAAGAAATGAGTAATCAACTGGGACTAGAGACAGGGCAAAGCTAGGGAATTAACAGCATCAACCTTTTTACTTATAAAGCAACTCCAAAGAACCAGGGTTAGGCAGCCTTCTTTGACCAAGTACATACACTTTATCTCTTTCAGATCTCAGATGTACTCTTTGCATTGAAGTACAAATATACATCCTCTGTATTTATATATCTAAAGTACTGAAACCAAAATTAATGTCATTGCTTTATGATCATACTTTATATATAGTGCAGGCACATAATAAAAAATAGATGTCTAACAACTATTTGTTTTAAGAATAGTGGCTCATTTACCACAGCAAATTTGTTCATAAACCAGTTTTCATTATCTTTTTTTGTAATGAACTTGAGTTAGTTATAATTAAATTGTTTGGTTTCTGCCATGGTGAGAATTGTCAAACTATTGGAAGACAAATATGTACGTGTTGTTTAATTTAGGAAGTTGTTTTGATTTCACTTTTATAATCTGGAGTTTTCCAGCATTTCACTTGTATCTTCTTCACAAAGTGTTTCAGGGAAAGACTGCCTTTTTGAACCTCATTCCCAGCCCAAAAGACTTAAGTATTAGGATCCCAGTAATCTCTAGGTCCCAGTCCCAAAGACTTAAGATAAAATGCTATTGAGGGTTGAGAGATCCTCTTTTAACAGGTAAAAATCGTTTTCCCAGCTGGTGTCCATCCACTCAGAAGGATACCTGAAAGACCGAGACCCACCAGAACCCCTGACCTCACAGGATGTACCCAAGGTTCTTGAGTGGCCCCAGAATTTGATTCTTGGGACACTCATACTGCCATTAAGAACTGGACCTCTTTTAATGTCGTAAGGTTCCAAAAAGAGGACCAATTAAATAGTGAGCTCACCTAGACAAAAATCTCTGGATGTTCAGGATGGATGTCAAACAACAGTTCTCTTTGGAGTCCTTGATGTGTTCAATAGCCCAGTTTGAGTCTTTTCTAACACCTGAAATTTTGAGTTACCTCGTACTTCAAGTGCCAGTTTTCTTCTATTCTTGTATGAACTGTTTGAACCTGATTTTATATGAACATGACACTTCTATTGGCAATTGATGTGTATACCAGGTACCTCAAAATCTGACTTAAAGCTCCATTTATTATTTCCAAGTCTACAGTTCAGCTGGGTAGTTCTTCCCATCTCCACTGAGTTCACTTAAGTGCGATTACCTGCAGATGAGGTACACACAGCTCTACAGACCTAGGCAGGGCTCTCACGTTTGGGGTTCAGCTAGCTATAGGCCAAGATACCTTAGCTCTTCTGCATGTAGCTGGGGCTTGTTCACTTACTGTAAAGCAGGGTTCCAAGAGAAGGAACAGAAGTGTGCAAGACCCTTTGAGGCCCAAGCATGGAACTGAACTGGCACACTGTCACTTCCACCACGGTCCCAGTCAGGGCAGATTTGAGATGCAAAATGAACTTCAGGCTCATGTAGGGGCTGGACACAGGAAGAGAATAATTATGTTCCTTCTTTCAATCTGCAGTAACTTTTCTTCTCTAGTTTGTGTACCTCAGCTCTATCCAAAAATAGGATAGGACTTAACCATAGAAAAACATACCTTCTTAAATTGGCTCTGATCCTTAGTGAACTTTATAACCTGTGTCTCAGTTTCCTTATCCATAAAATAAAGGTGCCTCTGGTCTATTTAACAGTGAAATTCTTAGATTTAAACGTCATTATGTAAAACGAAGGGGCTTGTATTCTGACAGGTAGTCACCAGGATTCATACTATATCCTTGTTCTCATGGAAATTACATGAAGCTGAAAGATTTAAGTGGTTTTACAGGATAGACAGAAAACCTATGCAGTAATTAGGAGCAGGGTCTTATATTTCAAGTTAGGACAGGCTTACATTATAGGGTGGTAACAAATTTTGTAAGCTAGCTCATGTTAGTTTAGGGCGGGCCCTTTTAGTGAAAACTGCATCTCCTTGTTTGTATGTACATTTAAGTAGATTTACTGGGTGGTAGCTATTAGGACCTTCTTAATTACTTTTTTTAAATATAAGAGAAACCACTGTTTCCCTATAAGGAAACCATGAATTCTGGGCTTCTCTTGTAAATCAGTCTAGCATTAAAGCTGTTCTTTTTCCAACTCTCCCTTTAGCAAGTCTACTTTCTAAACCCTCCCCCACCCCCCAGAAACTTTTCAGTGTTAGATGGTTTGAAAAACCTCAGTCAAACTCAAGACTATTTAATTGTTTCTTCTCTTCCCAAATTATCTTTATTTCTTCAAATAGGGAGATTCATTTCTCACTGAAAGGATCCATCATTTTAAAGTGAGCTAGCTTCAGAAAGTGAAAAACCAACATAAGCACTACCTAACTTAAAAGACCTTCAATATTGAAGCTAGGAATACGAGCACAGTATCTTCCTGCATTCAATGCAGAATACCATTTTTACAACATTCACCACTCTGTATTCCATTTTGTATGGTACCCATACTACTGTATCCCTAATGCCAGTTTCTGATAATGCTTTAAGTGAATGCTTAGTGAATGAAAAAATTGTTAATGAGGGAGCCACATTAGAGGCCCATGGTATACTTACTAACATTCCTGAGAGTTAGGGACTTGCCAGAGTGGGCTTTAATGTACCCTTTTGTAATTTGAACCCACCAGGAAGATTCTGGTTTTTGCCTGTCAACCTAAGCACTTCACTTTGAAGTTGTATTTGCTGGTCTGTTGTATCTGTAGCTGGAATTATTACAAGTAGCAGAACTTGGAATCGTATTTCAGTTCGAATAAAGCTAATTCTAGTTCTCATTTTCTTTAGTAGGTTCCTCATTTTACCATTTCAAAAATCTTACAGATTTAAATTTAAGTGTAAAGTTATGTTTGGGTTTCTTGATTTGGCTGTATCACACTGCTTTTCATAACATTCTTTGGTTCATCAAAGCAGTTTCGAGCAGTGCTAGGCAAAATGGACATGTGATATACTACTGAATGTAATGAACTGTAGGTAACTTTACCTAAGAACATTCATAGAGGAACAGAATCGAGCATTTAAGACTTCTTGAGTGAATGTGATACTACAATTCTTCCTAAGTCAACTCTGTTAGTGTAGTTTAAATGGTAACAGTGCAAAGTTAATTTTACCCATGTTCAGTTATTTTTTTAGTGATTGAGCCAAGCTAAGACAGCTGATAATAGTCAATTAGGTGATGGTCATGGAAAACAGTGGCTTGCCCCAATGGGAATCAGTGCTAAAATTTCAGGCAGGCCAGAGACTGGATCCCCAACACCCAAACTCTAAAATAACTATTTATCTATTTCTGTGAAAACAATGTATGTTGAGCATAAAATCTAATGTCAAGAAAGCTCATTCTTTTCCACTGAAAAGGCCTGTTCTTTGAAGGTATTTTCAACAGATCCTAATATGTGCATTATCAGTGACTATTGCTAGAGAGTAGGACTATGGGAGGGGGACAAACCTCTGCCGCATTAAAAAAGTAAAATTGTTCAGCATCTCCAAATTTTCCAACACTATAGTGGGGGAGTGGTGGGGGAAAAAAACTTGGCTCTTCTTCTTCCAAAAAAAGAGATCCATGCCACCACTCATAATGAACACTGAAAATCTCCCAGGAGCCCAGTGATGTATTTTTTTAAAAGGACATTCTACTGTACTTCCTCCAGAATTACTGGGACTTGTGTATACACAATCCATTGCTACTGCTTCAGATACTAAAGAGAAGAGAGGTAATGGAATAAATAAAAGTCCTATTTATTTAGTAACTACTATGTATTAGGGCAGGCACTTGACACACACCTTTTTTACTAATACTTGAAAAAAAGTACTGTTACCCCATTTGCAGCTGGGGAAACTAATGCTCAGCAAAGTAAAGCAACTTGTGCCAGAGCAACAATTCAAATCTGGGTCTGTTGGACTCCCCGGCCATAATCTTCCCATTGTACTTCTATTCCTTTTCCTATAAAAAGGTCAAGACCCAGATGACAATAAAACAATGACAGTGAATGGTCAGAGCAACCTACTGATTATATCCTGTTTATGACAGCAGTACAGCTGTGCTAATTCCATGAAATACTATAAATGCATTTATAGTGAACAATTGCTTAGTTATAAGAAAGCAAGATTGCCAGTGTTATGATTAAACATATCATGTCTATTTTCATACAGGGTATTCACTAAATCACCTGAAAATGTGGAAAAAAACAGCTTTAAGTTTCCTGTTTTTATCAAATATGCTCCTTGCACTCTATACTGGTTTAGTTCATCAACGAGGTACTTTGGATGTTATGACTCATATTCAAGAACTCTGTTATAACAATCCCAATGAATCTGCAGCTTCAGTATTTGTAATGATGCCTTGCCACTCTACTCCTTTATATAGGTAACAAAAATTATTCCACTTTATGCTATTAAGAAAATGAAACTACTTTAAAATTACTTTCAGATTCCTAGATTAATTAATGGATCACTGATCAATAATAAAAAATTTGAAGCTCCACATTTATTCAGATAAATTTTTAAAAAACCATTTGAACTATGTTGATGGAAGTCATATGCCGCTTTTAACCTCAATATCCTTTTCAAAATTTTTAAACAATTTAGATTTAATTGATTTGATTTAAATATATACCTAATAGGTTATTTGATGGTTTGGGTTTTTTTTTTTATCCTTACCCAAAGACATACTTATTGATTTTAGAGAGAGGGGAAAAAAGGGAGAGAAGGAAACATCGATCGATCAACTAGGCAAGTGCCCTGGCCAGAAATCAAACCCTCAACCTTTTAGTTTATAGAACTATGCTCCAACCAACTAGGCCACATCAGCCAGGGATTAATTTCTTAGTAAAGAAATTATCACCGATCTTACTACAAATTTTTTTGATACATACATCTTATATGTATTACAATTTTGAATTAATCTCAAAACACTCGCTTCTAGTCTAGATTTACTGCTGACTGTTGCACTGGTCTTTAACCAGTCTTTTTAATCTCTTTGGATATCAGTTGTCTCACTTGTGAACTCAATTAGATGATATTGTAATATTTGAATTAGGTGTTTCTGGGAATAAAACAATAAAATTGCGTTAACTATGCAGGGCATTTAAAGACATCCATTTGGCCCTATGCTTGTCAGGAAGGTGTATTAGTTATCAACTGCCTAATATCAGTACAAGGGCAAACAGTTTTTATGTAGAAAATTTTACACCTATTAATCTGGCTTTAAACAGTCTGAAGTTAATTTTGCACGTGCACAGTCAACCTAGTATCCAAGTTGTCTTTTTAAGATAATGTAACATTTCTTTGAATACTCTTTACATCAGTCATTAATGTCAACGATTAATACATAATTTGGAAAATTAGAATGGCCTAGCAAAAAAGTCACAGGTTACATGTAAAACCCCAAGTGTCCCTTTAACTTCAGCTTCCCCTACTGTATAAAAAAAGACTGGAGCTGAAAGAGGCACATTCACCATCCCTCCACGCTCACATTAGTGGTAACACTACAGAGAACAAAAATTCTACAGGTACCAAGTTGCTTTCCATACACAGTAGCAGTGCTTAAAGTCTCAAGCTTTTGTATAGTTTGCCAAGTTCTCATCTTACATTTTTTCAAAGTACACAATGCAGCAAAAAAAGTGTGATGTCTACTTTGGAACACAAGGTGCCAGCTGTTTCTGTTTTCCCCTTATTTCCAAAATTACAAAAGTCATGAAAGTATTAGGTCTTGTGTAAATTTACTTTCTATGCATTTCAAAGATAAAACTAAATTTCTATCATGTATTTATTTTTATTAAATTTTCCTGAGGCAAAGTTATAAACATGGCTTTTTGCATGGTCCAAGTAACTCGCATTAATTTATCATGATTTATCAATCCATCTTTTTTATATCTGCTATAGTCTTCCATACACAGTAGAACCATTACTTATTTGGACTTTAACCAGTGAACATATAATGCTATCACTGGATCTTACTTAAATAAAGGTTATGCTGCTGCTGCACAGGTACATGTTGTAAGGATCATACATCTTTGAGAAAACTACATTAAAGGCTTGCCTCTTCACCTAAACTGGAACCCAATTTACATTCAGATTTCACATTTTGTTATGTAAACATTATATATCTTAAGAATAATTTGAAAACTTTCACTTTTTAAACTTCTTATAACTATAATGGTAATTTTCTTTTCATAGCCATGTTCACTACCCACTTCCGATGAGATTTCTCCAATGTCCCCCAGACCTGACTGGAAAAAGTCAGTATCTTGATGAAGCAGATCTATTTTACCAAAATCCCTTAAGCTGGTTGTATGAAGAGTTTCACAACAATTCAACATTGCCTACTTACTTGATCCTCTTCAGCATTTTGGAAGAGGTAAGGAAACATGAAAAAAGGGAAAAACAGTTTCACCTTAGGTTTAGTAAACACTTGGAAACAGACAACATATTTATGGTCTTTAACCCATATAGTTGGTAGCTGTCTTTTCCCCAGACAAAATCAGCACTTCTATGTGTATCAATATCTGTATGTATCCAACTATGTAATTTGCGTAAGTTAATTTAAGGAATTGCATTTTTTATTAAAAACGTAGAGGCACAAATCAATGGGTCATTCTAAAATTCTGAAACCAGTACTTAGCAAAATGTAGCCTTTATTTAAATATTTATTTCTAGGAAATAAGTGCTTTCCTGATTTCAAGAAACTATGAGAGAACTGCTGTTTTCTTCCACACTCACTTGCCAGAAGGTCGAACTGGAAGTCATGTATATGTCTATGAACGGAAGTTAAAAGGGAAACTCCAGAGAAGATGAAATTCTGAACTGTGTTGAGATCCTTCCCAGGGAAATAGACACTGCTAGGTAGAAATACTCAGATGTTGCCTACCTACTCTAATAAACACTGGGTAAGATTTCGTGGAACATGAAAAAACCCATGAACTGCTTTACCAAATAGTACTACTGAGGAAATGTATGAAAAATATCACAAAGTATAAAATCGTATATTAATACAACGCCAGGTTTTTAAAATAAAGACCTTTAGTTTTCCTCATGTGGTAGTTTTATTGTTTCTTCCACAATATTCAGATGTGCAAGAAATTTCATAAGAGAACAAGTCAGCAAGCTCATAAGAAGGCAGCAAATTCTTCACAAGTCAACGGGCTCTTGAACCCACAAAAAGACAAGAAGCAAGAGTAAGATTATAAAATGTAAAGAAAAAATTCCATCACAATGTGCTGTTATCAAGCTCTACTGCAAATTTAACACAAATATCAGTGTTAATTACACTTTGTCCTGTATGATTTGGGTTTGCTTTAAACTCATACACTGAAAGGAAGTCTCATTTCATGCACAAAATCTGTTGTGTACCTGGACTACAGTTGAACATTTCCAATGCTGAAAAATATTCAGCAAAGCTAAACAACAGCAGGTTAGTAAGCTTTTGTTTGATGCTTCTAAGTAATAATAGTCATCAAACTTAGAAATGGTAAAAAGACATTGTTATCTTGATAATCTCATCCTAGTTTCAACACCAAACATTGTAGAAAGCATCCACATTTGTTAGTTTTCTAATTTAACTTAATCACAATGGTCAATATTTAGGGTCAAAAGGCAATTGCCCCAATTCTATTTCGACATTTGCCATGTGTCTTCCATTAGCGCGATCATATTTATGCCATTTACCTTCCCTCTTATAAGCTTGTGGCTGAGGGTGCTTCTGCTCTTGTTTTCGATGCCTGGAGTTTTCAATATTTACTGTACGTTGCTTTTTATCTGGTCGACTGAAAGCAGTAAACACATTTTTCATCTAGGTTAGAGTTAAATTTATTTAAACAAGGAACAATTTCAATGTTTTTCTCTATTAATCTATTATCTGAACACTCTGAAGTAGGATGTTAAATTAATCTGAAGTACAATCATAGTGTAACCATGCCAGACTATTATATTTTATCCTATAGGGTAAAAAAATGTGACGATAAAATAATGAGATTTTTAAAATTATTTTTCTTTCTTTCCTGGAAAAAGCAGAAATGTATATTCATCTCTTGCACACAAAACAAAGCCTTTTTTTTCCTGTCCTACAGCTAAAGTTCACAATGTCTACATGTACTGTCTTCCTCTCTCTCTCTAATCAGGCCTCTGTCACAATGTCACTCAAACAGTCTATAATGCCATCCATGGCCACCCAATTCCCAAGCCAAGAAATAGTCCTTTTTATTGCATTTGATACACATATACTCCTCTTACTTGAGATCATCTTTGGTTGTTCATGATGCCATTCTCTGGTCTTGTCATTCTCAGCCTCCTTTTCCTATAACCCCCATGTTGGTGTTCCCCAAGAGTCCGATAAGTAACTCCAGCCTAGATGGCACACACACAGTCTGGGCTACAGATAGTCACATAACAAATCCTTTCCATTTGGATGTCAATAGGTGCCTCTAAGCACGATTCTCATTTCCAATTCCCCATATCTAAAACCTCCTGGTATTCCTTATCTTAGTACTTTCACTATCCAACTAATGACCCAACCCAGAAATATGGAAACCATTGTCACTTTCTACTTCTCTTTAACAAGAAATATCACTAATCTTACTTTCTGTGTATTATTCAATTCTGTCTCCCCATTTCCACTCATCCTCGTCACTTCGCGTCTGTATTGTTTTAATGACCATCTTAGCTTCGCCCTTCCAATGACTTTCTTCAGACTGCTGCCACTGATCCAAAAAGCAATAAAGCATGTCCTGGAGCATAAAATGAAGCTATTCATGAGCTACATATTCTCTTCTATCCATACTCCTCCACCACCCTTGCCTCCCTGAAGTGGCATGTCTTCAGATCTCCAAATCAAAGTTCCCTTTGAGTGGAATGCCCTACCCTATCTGCTTAACAAATTCAATTTTCCTTCAAAAGCTAGTTTAAAAATGTTTAGTTGAAAAGCCACTCACTCATAAAGCCTTCCCACATATCCTAGACTGAGGCCACTACATACAGTGCCTCTATACCTCCATTAATTTACCTATCTCTCCAATAGCTTGTGACTTCTTTCTCAGCAAGAATTTTTCGTGTTTCCTCAGGGCAGCCTCACAGTGCTTTGCTCATTGTAGTACTACTAGATACTAATTAAATGACTAAATTCACCACTACCAGTCTCATTATTTTATAGACACATTACTTTTATTCAAAAAGATACCTATGTCAAATGTAAAAAAATAAAGCTAACATTTGAAGGTTAGTCAAGTTTCATGTTACAGAATATGGAACTGGTAAGTAATAGATATCATTAATTTTAGTAGTTATTTACAAAGCACACACGTTAAAACTTGTGGCTTGCCAAGTTTGCCTCCTTGATAATGTCTCTACCTTTATCAACAATAATTCTGTAGTAAGTGTACTAAATATCATAATTTAGTAAATGGAATTGACAAATGAAAAGTGGAACATCTGAACTGTTACTCCACTATTCTGATTTCAAAATTTAATTTGCACTGTTCATGCCTAGCTTACCAAAAGTAAATAAAAGATTAAAGGAAAATAATCTTACAGAAACAAAATAAACTAAGATGTATACACCTTTAACTGATTTTTCAGGTAGAAATTAAACTACCTATTTGCTCAAGTCAAACTGATTATATAAATTTTTCAATTTGTAGTATCTATTAACTTAAAATTATGTTTAAATTTAATGTATTCTAAATTCTCTAGCAATAAAGTACATTTACAAATAGTACTTTTTTTTTTTACAAAGAGTACTTTGCACTAGTAGCATTCCAAGCAACTTATCAAATGATAAAATGCTATCCAATCTATAAATGTTAAAAACTATTACAACATGGTGATATATAAACCGACCTGGGTCCATATGGAGGGGAAAAAGTGTGACCAAAGAAGTGTCTATATATGTATTCATCCAACTTCTCAAACACTTCATCATTATCTACTTGATATTCCTTGATGTCTTTAAGATAATCTTTAACATCATTAACAAAGTCAGTGAAGAGCTTCTGATCATGTATAAAGATACCATGTATGAAAAACTTATTGATGAACTGATCAAATTCTTTCCAATGATGAAAACTATCCAATTTTTCTACTAAGTACCTTTCAACTAACTGTCTAAATTCATCTATCCTTACAGGAGTCAACACTTTCATATTAAATAGGTTAATGGATTCCTGTTGAGCACATTCAAATACACCAGAACAAGCCTTTCTGAAAGAATTATAATTTTCACTACAGCCATGTTCAGCACTGCATTTCTGTGAATTTGTATTTCTTCCAAATTCTTCAAAATGAATTGGCTTTCCTTTCCTTCCCTCTTTTTGCATGGTAGGGCCTCTATTATTCTGGTTTTGTGTACGCGCCTTATACTGTGGATATAAATATTCACTAAAAACTGTGGGTTTTTTAGCTGCTCCTTCTTTTGTAGCACCATATCTTTTATTGCCCTTTTCATCAAAGATATTCTTGGTGGTATCTTTGAAATGTCTGAAAGTGGATTTAACTGAATCTGAGAATTTTTTCAGATTTTCCTTCACAGCTTCTTTAGCCTGCTTAATTTTTTCTTTATGATGCCTCACAAACTCCTTGGTAGAATTCTTCATGGCATCAAATGTTTCCTTAACTGAACCCAGAAATGTTTCCTTTGACTTATTTTTAGCCCTGTGGTTTCCTCTGCTCCCTTTCTTTTTTCCATCAGTTTCTTGTTTTCCATTTTGATCTTTTGCCTCAATATACAGTCTCTCCCATAAATCAGAACGCTGCTGTTCAAAGTTTAACTTCCGCTCCAGCTCAGTAAGTCTTTCCCGTAAGATTTCTACTTCCTTCTGTTCAGTCAATACATTGGGAGAGTCTGGATTGCCAGCTGACTGCCTAGAGCTTAATTGCTGAAGTTCCACCCTTAAAGCCATGGTTTTTAGTCGTTCTCTCTCCAGTTCCCTCCTTAGCATCTTTGCTTCCGCCAATAGAGTCTCCCTTTGATTAAGAAAGCTGTGTGTTTTCTGCTTTTCTTCTTTCAAATGCTGCTTAAGTTTCTGATTTTCTGAAACTAATTCAGTACTTGTCCCTTTATCTTCCAATATCCTAATCTGTTCTCTTAGTTTCCTTAACTCTTCCTGTAGTGAAGACAAGGCTTTTTCTTCCTTCTCCAGAGATATTCTTAAATACTGGTTTTCTGTATCAAGGTTCTTTTTCTGAGTTTCAAAGGACATCTTCTCTGCTTCAGTAAGGGTCCGACACTTTGCAAGGTTTTCCTTCAATGACTAAATTTTTGTGAAAGAGAAGAAAAATGCCAAGTGTTTTAAAAGCTGAATTTAAATCTTTAACATATAATACATCATAAATTTTTAGTGTATATTTATGCAAATATATAGTCTTTATGTATAGACTAGTCTTTATGTATTTCCAATGTATGAAAACTGGAAAATACAAGGTTGATACACAAAAATGCACAGCAGAACAACACCAAAATAAGAGCACTGCATGATTGAAGACTTTGTTAAAAATTAGAATTTGGTTTGTCTCCAGGATTCTAAAACTAGAGATGGGGTACTTCTGATTAGTATTTCCCATAGTCATTTGTAATCCTTACTGGTTTCTAGGCCCACTTACAGGTTAGAAGAAAAGGAGATTAGCCTCCTATGTGTTGACTACAGGATTCCAATCTTTCCTGATAGGGCTCATCACAAGAATGTAGACAGGACTAAGGGCTTCTCTGATCCTTGTGTGAGAGAGAATATTTTTCATGGAAAGTATAATTACAACTGGAGATGACATGATGCTTCAAAAATTCTCTTTATATTCATTGCACTCTTAGAAGGAGAAAGCTTTCAATAATCTTCATCCTATTTGAAACCTCTTAGTCCTATACAAATCAACATCTCTAAGTTCTGATAAATCATAAAATTTCTCTTACACTTTACAGGGCAGAATGAATCTTGGTAACATTTATTATAACTAATTCCCCCAAATTCAGTAATATTCTAAAGAAACTGAGAAGATTAGTAATATAATTCCAAGGTCAGCACCTTTGATAGAAAAAAGTTATGTTCAATCAGGTTTATAAAAGTTTGCTGCAGTTCAAGTTTGCTTTGAGTGGTCTAATTTTTCTTTCAACATATGCATTAGTAACACACTAAGCAAAATAGCCAGAAACTAAACAACATGTTTATATAGGTTAATAATGGTTATTAACAGTATTCAGTCAGTTAAAACATCTTATGTATAAATCTGCAAAATCATACTTAAATTTTGCTTGATTTACCACAAATACAGCTATCCCAAATGAATCAGACTAGAAAAATAGCTAATTTGCACAAACAAGTTAAAAGGGGGGGGGGGCCTTTAAGAGAATGACAGTATCTTCCACTTAAAAATAACTATCTGAAATGGATGTTTCACTGTCTGGCTCATTAATCTTCAGAGAATGAATTATTAAAGTTTCATTATACTCATTTCACCTGCTCTGTAAGAGAAAACAAGTTTCAGCTAACCAACAAAAGTGGGCTGTGGGGGAGAACTGAGGGATGTAGCATTATCTTTAAATGAACAGTCATATGCAGCCAGAGAATGACTGCAGGATCCAGTAAACTCCATATTCTTGAATTAAGTGACTGGTAAGCAGATCCTGGGCAGGTCTTCCATGATGATCTTCAAAAAACCAAACCACATCTAACATTTAACAGATGGAGACAAGTGCTCTGCAAGAACTGACTCAGTAAAGACCTATGCGGGGTGAGTCTCCTAAAAGCCTAAGGAACCAGAAACCATTCTGGTGAAAGAAAATGGATACTCTTTTGAAAACATTCTCTGACCAAGGCAGGAAAAACTATATTTACAACCAACTTCCATAGTTGTTTCCTGAAAGATATAATTCAGATGTCAAATAGGATTCTGTCTTCCAAAGAAACATAATCATAATCCTATAAGGGATACTACATAAAGTGTAAAGGAAATGAGGGGAAAGTGAAGGAAAAAGGAACAGTTTATTCTTTTCCTACCCTGAATTTATCTACAATCCCTACACACCCTTCCCAGGGAAGAACTAGATGGGAGACTAGCTATTTTGCTGGTCCTCATAAATCCACAAATGTGTTAGGTAACTGGACAGAATGAACAAACACAGTCCTGCTAGAACAAGGTGAGTTTTAGGTAGGAAAGTATAACATGCTATCTCTTGCATCAGAACTAACAAGAAACCAGAGGAAAAAAACTGGCTGACTGTTTTCCTTGATTAAGGGAAGACCTTAGGCTACAAACACTCCTCTTTCTCAATGAATGAATGAAAATGTTTTGCTTGGCTCTATAAAAATTAGGTTAATAATAATGATATGTATTTCATATAATACCGACTTAAAATAATGTTAACTATAATATAAGTGATTAGGACTAACACCTTTGAAGTCAGAATCAAATTCAGCTGTGCCAGTTGCTAGCCTTGGGAAAGTTATTTAACTTTTTCTGAACCTTTTTCCATCTTTAAAATAAAGTTAAGACTTGATTAATTCACAGGGTTGTGGTCAGAAATAAGAGAAATACTGTACATGAGTACAATGACTAGGACACAGTACAGAATCAACAATTACCAATATTACTGATTTGCTATTCTGTACTGTACCCGTAATCTGAATAGCATTAATTATTGGCTAACAATTACTTTTTAATAAAATGTGTTAGCACACTTCCAGCCAAGATGGAGGTATAGATAGACAGACTGTGCCTCCTCGCACAACCAAAATAAGGAAAACAATTTAGAAATGACGTAACAACCAGTATTGACAGAAAATTGAACTGTATGGAAGTCTGACAACCAAGGAGTTAAAGTAGACACATTCATCCAGACCAGTAGAAGGCGGGGAGTTGGGCAGCTGGGTGGAGAGGAGTCTCGGCAAAAAGGTGGCTGGCAGACCCCAGGCACAGTGCTCAAGGCAGCTGGCTGACCGGGCAATCCCACATTCACGTGCAGATAAACCAAGCGAAACTGGGGAGCAAGACAGACCACGCAACCCAGGGCCCCAGCACAGGGAAATAAAGCCTCAAATCACCGACTGAAAACACCTGTGGGGGTTGAGATGCTGGGAGAGACTCCCAGCCTCACAGGACAATTAATTGGAGAGACCCACAGGGTCCCAGAACATACACAAGCCCACCCACACAGAAATCAGCACCAAAAAGCCCAGTCTGCTTGGAGGAAGTGGCGGAAGGGACTGAAATCCAGCACAAAGTGGAGCAAGCACCATTGTTCCTTCTGACCCCACCCCCACATACAGCATCACAACCCAGCGACTGGGTTGCCCTGCCCTGGTGAACACCTAAGGCTCCGCCCCTCATACATAACAGGCACCACCAGACCCCGCCCCCCAAAGATGGCTCAAACAAAAGAAATAATGAAAGCCCCAAAACCAATACCTTTAAGCAACCAAGAGATAGCCAACCTATCAGATGCACAGTTCAAAGCACTGGTGATCAGGATGCTCACAAAATTGGTTGATTCTATTCACAAATTAGATAAAAAAATGAAAGCTACATTAAGTGAAAGGAAGAAAAATGCACAGGGAACCAATAGTGATGGAAAGAAAACTGGGCCTCACATCAATGGAGTGGACCAGAAGGAAGAAAGAATATTCAATCAGAAAAGAATGAAGAAACAAGAATTCAAAAAAATGAGGAGAGGCTTAGGAACCTCCAGGACATCTTTAAACGTTCCAACATCCAAATTACAGAGGTACCAGGAGGAGAAAAGGAAGAGCAACAAGTGGAAAAGTTATTTGAACAAATAATAAAGGAGAACTTCCTCAACCTGGGAAAGGAAATAGACTTCCAGGAAGTCCAGGAAGCTCAGAGTCCCAAAGAAGTTGGATCCAAGGAGGAACACACCAAGGCATATCATAATTACATTAGCCAAGATTAAAATTAAGGAGAGAATTCTAGAAGCAGCAAGAGATAAGGAGACAGTCACCTACAAAGGAGTTCCCATCAGACTGTCAGCTGATTTCTCAAAAGAGACCTTACAGGCAAGAAGGGCTGGAAAGAAGTATTCCAAGTCATGAAAGACAAGGACCCATATCCCAGATTACTCTATCCAGCAAAGCTTTCATTTAGAATGGAAGGGCAGATAAAGTGCTTCTCAGATAAGGTCAAGTTAAAGGAGTTCATCATCACCAAGCCCTTATTATAGGAAATGTTAAAGGGACTTATTTAAGAAAAAGAAGATAAACAACATGTATAGTAAAATGACAGCAAACTCAGTTATTAACAACCACACCTAAAACGAAAGCAAACTAAGCAAACTAAGCAAACAAGTAGAACAGAAACAGAACCACAAAAATGTAGATCACATGGAGGGTTAGCAACAGGGGAGTGGGGGGAGGAGAAGGGGAGGAAAGGTACAGAGAATAAGTAGTATAGACGGTAGGGAGAAAATAGAGGGGGGGCAAGAATAGTATGGGAAATGTAGAAGCTAAAGAACTTATGACACATGGACATAACTAAAGGGGGGATGTGGGTGGGAGATGGTGTGCAGGATGGAGGGGAGTGAAGGGGGAAAATGGGACAACTGTAATAGCATAATCAATAAAATATATTTTTAAAAAATGTGTTAGTAGTACACACCTTATAATCTGTAACAGGCTCTTGTTTCTTGTGACACTGGGAAAGATAATCCTTCATATCATTCAATTCACCCTCGTGTATCTTTGTGACTAACTGTTGACGCTTCTGAATCTGAATTGTGCCTAAAAATGAAAATTTTTATTAGAGATAACATAAATGTTATGATTACCAATATGTTAAACATATAATAAAACATTTAATGTACATATATGTAACTAATCAAGGTAGGATCATTTTCTTCAAAATATTAGCATTTCACAGTTCTATAAAATTTCTGAATATATAAACAAAGTATGAATAAGTCTCATGATATCGTTCATCAAATGGTAGTGGATGGATGTTAATATAGTATAAATTATGCCAAGTAGGTTAACATATTTTTTATTTCTCATATACCCAGAGATATTTAAGCAGCTCACAATCCTTTTGATTAAAACAAGCCAGTCCATATTACCCTAACAAAGAAAACAATTTATGGTAATGTTTTTATCTTACTATAAAGAAGACACTATGGTCTGTTTATTTTTTTCTTTTTTTACAGTGGAATGTCACTATTATGCTATTGAGAGCTACACATTGTGCCTTGACTCATACTTGTTCTGAGCTAATTAAACAGTATGAGGATGCCCTCTGGGACACTGCACAAAATATGGAATGCTTCACGGAACTGTGTGTCATCCTTGTGCAGGGGCCATGCTAATCTCTGTATCGTTCCATTTTCAGTGTATGTACTGCTCGTGCGAGGACTCAGGTCTGTTGTTTTTGAGGGCTCTTTGAAATACATAAAGTGTTGCATTCTCCCAGACAGAGAAAGAAAGAAAGCATGGAGTCTATTCACAGTTTATAAGGAAAAACAAAAACGCCTATTTTTTTCTTACTATAATTCTCCTAAATAATATAACACAAACTCAAAAGTTACAGCAAGGAAAATAAATGACTAACTGTGATCACCCACCATTCTCAAAGCCAAATCTTTAGAGCATTCTGTGTTTGTTACATCTGTACTACAGCACCACCATCCCTATCCCAGCAGTGCTACAGGGATCTTAAACCAACTAAAAAAATTAAAATCACCTTAAAAATTAAAATGTTAATTTGCCAATACATGCCTGTTCACATGCTGCTACATGCTTCGTGCATAAGAGAACAAAAACACCACAATCAAAAATAAGGCAAAATGCATTTGACAATTTTAGTATTACATCCACTGAGTAGCATAGCCTTATGTAAAGAATTTTGTAATGAGTAGATGTAATGATAGTTTACTATTTCTTCTCTTACTGCTAAAAAATTAATTTTTAATTTCTTCAGTACAGCTTGATATACACTAAAGGGAAATCCTTTGCCAAATTACAGACAACTGTTACCAATTTACAGCTGATACTCTCTTAGGATTCATACCCCCTCTTTAAATTTTCCAATTTATAAAAGCATGGAAAATTTGTTTCAGTATCTCTCAAAAGAATCTCTGATTTTTTTTAAATGTTGAAATAAATACATATGTAGTTCCCCAAGTGACAGAAAATCTTTCTTTTCAAACTTCTAATAGGATGAATTTCTTCTGCTCACTGGAAAATAACCTAGAATTATGTGTCGAGCCCCGAATTGGCAGTACTATTATATAGCATGTTTGATGACTGTCAGTCTCACTCCGGTTCCCCACCCCCTTGCAAGAGCAAGAAAGCAGCCACTCCTAGAGGTTTTGGGGTTTGTTTTGTTGTTTTCCTAAATCTTCAGCTGCCTGACTACAAAGTGTTACTGCCCAAAATACAATCTTTGGCCTTCTGGTCATGTGTACACGTCTATCTATATTAATTACATTAACCAACCCACTATCAGTTTTTGCTATCATTGCTGTTAAGACTTCTCTACAAATCTGACCAGAGCTTCCATACAATATATCCAGCTGTCTGTTGGGCACAATTCTGGGAACAACTTCAGGGAAACAAACAAAAAATCAAACTTCAACAGCTACCCTAAACCATTCTAGAATAAAGTTCAGTAAAAACCAAAATGGCTCACCATCTATTTCCTGTATCATCTAAATAAAACTGTTCCCCAGCCATACCCCCATCTCCAAAAGTAAAGCAGCTCGCACACTCCTGGTAATTTAAGACAAAAAAACAAAAAACAAACAAACAAAAAAAAAACAAGTATCTTGGGTATCCTATCTCAAAGTTCTATTTTCCATTATTACTTCAGTGTCCCTTATTTCACCAACCTTCTCTCCATCCCCACCATCTCTATCATTAAGGGTCTAATCACCAAATAGCTAAATTACAAAATTTCCCAGATGACTGGCCTAATTTTCCTCACACCATTTTCCTTCCTGCACTTTTTCTCTAAACTTATTGCCATCAGGTTACTCTATAAATCAAACTCCCCTGTCCTCATTCCAAGATGTTTGACAATGTTAACAGCATGCCACATATTCCAACTTTACATTCCATTATTCTAAATAAAAATCCTGCTATAGTCCAGGCAGTGTCCTCACTGCTCCCAAACCCAGCAAGTTTACTTTCAGGTTATCAGGTTCTCCATTGCTGGAATGTTCCTTTCCTTCCACCTAGCATAAGCATAATAAGACCAAACACAACTCAAATCTTACCACCTCCAGGTTGACTAAGTATAGCCTTTGAGCTATGTTCTTTGTCTATGCTACACACCGTGGCACCTACTTATACTCTGTTGTATTACCTATTGAAGAGCAGGACAGCCTATCAATACTTCAAGAAACTTCTTGAGAAAACTAGTCCAGCTGAACTCCACTAATAATTTAGAACACGGATGTCTATGAGCAAAGAAAGGTAAGGAAGATAGGTGCTTCACGTATGAAGATTTTTCTTTAAACTTTTATATGCAGTTTCAGAACCTGCAGCAGTCCAAATACTTTTAAGTACACCATTTTCCTATCCTCAGTCATGCTAGTTTTCTCTTCCTTCCAGGCTAGGTCTGAAACTCCAAAATTTTATGGAGCCAAACTTGGTCAATGTTCTGAGTGATTTCACTTAGTAGTATGTTTTCGTTAAATTATAAAGCAAATGACATTATGGTATGCAACACCTGACTTCATGGTGCATGAGAAATTCAAAGTGGCTCTGAAGTCAACTCAAAAGAGCTCTTAACATTGAGATTAGTGCCAGAGTTATGAAAAAAGTGTAATGTCCTTTAAACAGTGACTGAAAAAAGTAGTAAGTTGTTCAGTCAAGTTTTTGTATGTCCATTGAGCCAGTCTTCTTACTATATCAACCTTCTTCACACTGTATTATTTAGTCTTTTCATATTCTGAAAAGCTAATTTCAATCGCAGGACAATGTTTTGTTAAATATAATTATTAAAGTAAATTTTACAAGTAACCAAGATCCTAAATAGTGGCAATAATTTCTCAATTTTGAAAGCACTCCTCTGTAAATTGATCTTTCTACAAAATACTTAGAAGTTCATGCAAGTGGTGAGGTTTTAATGGAATTTAGATAAACATTAAATCACTGTTCTATTTTTAGTAGGAAAAAAGATTAAGATAAGACCTTCTCCTTTGTTACCTCCATGTTTACCTGCAGGGAAAAAGAATCATGCTCAAAAAAACAGATTCACACATTTGCTCCAGCTAGATAATGAAAAAAGTTAAATATATGTATTTCAACTTAAATCTCATTACAACAAACTTCAAGGGAGGATATAAATGATAGTATTTCAGTATTAAATTCAAGCAGGCACTTATAAGAAATATATTTTACTGACTGATTTAAATCAAGCATTAACTGTCTTCATTAATTACCCTAACAGTGTACTATGTTGAATAATGTTATCTTTTCCACAATCAACATAAGAGTACATGTATTTCCTCAATCTTTATATAATGAACACACTGGCAGAATAAAATAGCAAAACAGGAATACTTCAGAAAATTAAATTGTGAATTACATACTCAAAAAATCTAAATGTAGTTAATATAAGACAAACTGAAATTTGTTGACAATATCTAAGACATTTGTTTTGATTCTAATAAAGCAGAGTGTTAATGTTCAGTTCTCAAATACTTATCTTTTTTTAAAAGATTTTTTTTTTATTTTTAGAGAGAGGGGAAGGGAGGGAGAAAGAGAGGGAGAGAAACATCGATCAGCTGCCTCTCACATGTGAACCAACCAGTGACCAGGCCCACAACCCAGGCATGTGCCCTGACCAGAACTGAACCAGTGACCTTTCACTTATGCCGGACGACGCTCCACTAACTGAGCAACACCAGTCAGGGCTACGCTCTCATCTTTGTGCAAAAATATGTACCTTAAATAAGATTCAACTGTTGGACACTCAAATGAAATAACACCACATAGAATTCCTTCCTTTTCAACCAAGGGACTTTTAAAGGCTTTGCATTAAGATAATCAATATACATAAAAAAACACTAACAAGATTAATAGTAAGCAAAATATAATGCTAAACTATAAAACAAATGCAACAAAATACAAAGCTTACATGAAAGGGGAAGGCAGAAATAATGAGCAACAATTATTATAACTATTTCAAATGGGATTTAAATAATCCTCCTAATAAAGTCTCCTAATAAAGTTCAAATTGCTTTAATTATGATTTTAAAATAAATGATTTGCCTCCCGGTAAGCACTTCAGATTTTTAATCTTCCAATCTTTTTCTTATGATAAAAACATAAATGCTAATAATCCTTCCATTTCTTAAACAAATACTGCTTAATTTAAGTGAAAACAGCTTTGTGAAATAGGCAACACCATCTCCACTCTCCAGTTGAGAAAACTGAGGATCAAACAGGATGCAAGCTTTTCAAGGTTATATTTTAATCATACAAACAGTAAACACATGTCCTATGTGTTTAATCATATAAGCACATAGGACACTAAAACAGATCCCAAGATTCCTCACTCTTAGTGTTTCTACCCTATGCCATCAGCTTATCAATTACTTACCATAGAAATGTCCAAATCCCATGCTAATTGCAATCACCAGAGCCAGTATAACACACTTATTGAGGCCACTACTGAAATGGCGTTTACACTCCTTAGGGGGTTCAGTTTCTTGTTCAGGAAGCAGTCGCTCTTCAGATTCTGAACTAGAAATGGTCTTCTTCCTAGCACGGCGTCGTCTAAAGGCAGGACTGGGCTGATGACTGGTTTCATCACTACTTGATTTGTCGTCGCTAGGCTGAGATGAAAATACTATTGAAAAAAATGTAGATGAGTATTAAAAATTCTAGAAAAGATTTGCCAGTAAATATACAATAATTAATGCCACCCCTTCATGCCTTTTTTACATAAGACAACCAAAACAAAACCCCAAATTTTCAGGTTTGTCAACATATTGCCAAAGCATAAAATATTTCAACTGTGATACACAAGAATCTGTCAATCATATTGTATGTCTTTGAAGGTCTTTCGTTACACCTCTCCTGTAGTTTATACTATTGGAATAATCATTCTCATAGTCTGTTAAATTTCTTTGATATTAGAGCTACAAATACTATTTCTAAAAGAAAAAAACAAACCCTGTATCTCTTCATTCAGTTTCAAACAGATGTTAATTTAAGCTCAACTGTTTAAGGAACCGAGGGACACGCATAAGCAGTTCTGTGGGTATATCTGGACCCTAGTTTCACTTCCATCCCATGAGTCTACAATCAAAGTTCAAAGAACTATTGTTTAACACAGGTTTCCAGATGTCAGATGAGCCCTTCCCTTCAACTGCCACTCTTACTAGAAGGCTATTAATTTTACCCTCTAGTAAATATGTCAGCATGAGGAAGTGACACAATAGCTATCTCCAATATTAAGGACCAGTTTGGTGCTGCTCCTTCTTTATGAAAAAAAAGAGTAAACAAATTTTTTTTTAATTCACAAGAAATCTCAAGTCCTGGAAACATATCCACTAGAAAAATTACCTTCGTTTTTTTTTCCCATGTGTAATCTATTAACACGTTTTCACATTACCAATAAACTACATGTTGGCAGAGAAGATTATATGACTCAATAATAATTCCCCCAGGCCAGTTAGAAAGAAAAAAAGCACTGAAAGTAAGGATA